TGAATCAGCCTCCAGCCTTTCTCCCCTTCCTGGCCATCTCTGCTTAGGCTGTTGCCCCTCTCTATAATATATTAACAAAACAGTAATGGGGCAGGACTGAAAGTTTCAACCCAACATTCATGGCTGGTCCCCTTGGCAACCAGCGTGCATTCAAAAGTACTTTCCAAAGTCATCTTCATTAACCCAGTTGTGGTATAAAGGGCCTTGTTATGAATACAAGACATTTAAACTTATGACTCGGATTGTTATCAGGAACTGAGGACAAGAGACTAAATATTATGACAAAAGATGCTCCCAATGTTCTATAACTTAGGAAATTTCACGGGTTTTGGAGCTGTGAATAATCTAAAGTATGTGAAAAGTATATTTTGGCCATCTGAATGACCAGATGCATTATGTACAACATGTTATAAATCATAATATCAAACCACCTTATTTAGTGGCAAGTGTTCTTTTGATTGCTCAGGCCAAAAACTTTGGAGTCATCTTTGACTCATTCCCTCCTCCACTTATTCTGTTTTCAAAATATATCCAAAACCACTTACACATCAGCACTGCCAGCATCCTGGGATTGCCACCACCACCCCCTGCTTGGAAAATTATAGACTCTTAACTGGTTTCTTTGCTTCTGTTTGTTATTCTTCTTCAGTTAGTCCCCACATTGACACCATAGTGATTCTTTTCAAACCTAAATCAGATGTTTTTCTGTTCATAATCTCCTGTGAACATGAATATTCATAACCCTATTTAAATGAGTTTGGGAAGCTAGAAAGTGGCACACATGTAAATTGGCAAACTATATGCCTTCTTTTATTTTATTTTTTTTAAAGATTTATTTTTATTTATTTATACAAGTACTGGGCACAGTCAGAAGCGCGGGAGGGTGAGAGAATTCACCAGAGCCAGAGCAGGGAACAGAGCAGGCAGAAGGACCGAAGTACTTTGCTGAGGGGAGCAGCGGGTGGCAGGAGAGGTCTGCGGGCCATGGGCCATGTGGGACCCTCATTGTGGGACCCTCCTCCGGTGGCCGGGGAGCAGCCGGGGAGCGAACCGCGCTGCAGAGGATGCGGGCAGCTTCGCAACCCAGCGCTCAACCGCTGCGCCACCGGGGAGGCCCAAACTATGCCTTTCCTATGTGGAATGATGTTCTTCCCCTTTCTGGTGGAACTGAGAGCAAGGTCTTCCAGAGATTATGTGGAATGTTACTAGCCTTGCATTCAGGAACCTCAATGTGGGTCTTGCCATGAACGCACTCTCCAACCTGTCTTCTCATCTTCTTTTGTTTCTAAATAAACAATTTGTTGTAACTGATAGCTTCTGAGATCAACATTTACAATGGCTCCCCATCTCCCCTACAGGCACCTACAAGGTCCTGCCCCTTTAAAAAGATTTTATTTATGCATACAAAACTGGGGTGTAGGCCAGAGTTGGGGGGGGGGTGGCTAAGAGGATTCACCAGAGACAGAGTGGGGAGTAGAACAGGCAGATCTACTGGCAGTGGGCAATACAGGAGAGGTCTGCTGTACCATGTGGGTTAGCTCCCTGGCTAGGGATTGAACTCTCCTGAACTCATGCCATGCTATGAAGCAGTTGCTGGCAATAGCTTGATAGTGCTAAGACTTTAATCCCTGTGCAACCAGGGAGGCCCCTAAAAGGCCCCTCTTTTTTTTTTTTTAAGATTTATTTACTTATTTATTTATACAAGCACTTGGTACAGTCAGAAGCGCGGGAGGGTGAGAGAATTCACCAGAGCCAGAGCAGGGAACAGAACAGGCAGACCAACGAAATACACTGCTGAGAGGAGCAGCGGGCACTGCAGGAGAGGTCTGCATGCCATGTGGGACCCTCGCTGGTGGCTGGGGATCGAACTGGCGATGCAGAGGCTGCAGGCAGCTTCGCAGCCCAGCTCTCAACTGCTGTGCCACCAGGGGAGGCCCTCCAAGGCCCCTCTTAATTCAACATCATCTCAAACCCTTTCCCCCGCCTAATTACACTTATTTTGCTGTCCCGATAATTCTTGGATACTCCTTGTGTGCTCCTGCTTCAAAGTTTTGCACATGATATTCTTTGTCTGGAATGTTATTTCCCCAAATACTGCATAGCTAGCTAGCTCCTGCATATATCTCAGGTTATTACTCGAAATTCATATTTTTCTGTGAGGCTTTTCCCAGTTGCTGTGTCTAAAAACTTAATGCTATTTCTGCATGCAGAACCCACCAAGACTGTGTGGAACTGGGAAAGGGCTGTCCCCACAGCCAGAGGTGAGCTGAAGGCCCCCACAAGCCAGGCTGCACCTGGCAGAGAGTCGGAGGCCAGAGGGGGATCCAGTGATTTAGAGCCCAGAGGGTGATCCAGCCACTGCCAGGGCAGTCTGTGGGACCTCAAGACCCATCTCTGGAATTAAACAAATAAAGAAGGAGGAGATTTTTTTGGAACAGCGACCATTAACATATCCATAGTACCACTGCCCTACTGGACTTCTGGCATAACAGCATTGGACTCATTGAACCACCCGTTTCCGACATCCCTGAAAGAGCACACCAAAGAGATGCCGGCCAGTACCGGCGACACAGTGTCCCAACGCATAGGACAAATTAGAAAACGAGCAGCAGGGAGAAGAAAAATTACAAGCAACTAAGCATGTACTCAGGGAAAAGACACCCGCAAAAAGAAAATCAAACACCAGACTACAACACCAGTGACTTAGAGGAACTTATGAGTCTTCCTGATAGAGAATTTAAAGACACCATGATTAAAAAACTGAAAGAAGTTTCTTTATAGAGCTCTTCTGCCCATTTTTTGACTGGGTTATTTTGTTTTTGTTAAGTCTCATCTGCTCTTTGTAGACTTTTGTGATCAGTCCTTTATCATTAGTGTTGTGTGCAAAAATTTTCTCCCCGTCAGTGGGGTTTCTCTTTGGTTTGGTTATTGTCTCTTTTGCTGTGCAGAAGCTCTTTAATTTGGGTGATGTGCTGTAAAGAAGTCTTGAGGTGCATGTCATATAGTGTTTCGCCTATATTTCCTTCCATATATTTTATGGCTTCAGGTCTTATGTCTAGTTCTTTAATCCATTTTGAGTTGGTTTTTGTGCATGGTGTCAGGTAGTGGTCAAGTTTCATTCTTTCGCATGTAGCGACCCAGTTTTCCCAGCACCATTTACTGAACAAACTTTCTTTGCTCCAGTGCATATTCTTTGCTCCTTTGTCAAAGATTAGTTGACCATAAATCTGTGGGTTTATTTCTGGGTTTTCTATTCAGTTCCATTGGTCCGTGTGTCTGTTCTTGTTCCAATACCATGTAGTTTTGATTATTATGCAAATGGCCAACAGGCATATGAAAAAATGTTCAACATCACTTGTAATCAGGGAAATGCAAATCAAAACTACAATGAGATACCATCTCACACCAGTGAGAATGGCACATATTAAAAAAAACTAGCAACAAAAAATGTTGGTGAGGATGTGGAGAAAAAGGAACTCTCCTGCACTGCTGGTGAGTGCAAAATGGTCCAACCACTATGGAAAGCTGTGTGGAGATTCCTCAACCTGCTAAAGCTGGAGCTTCCATATGATCTAGCAATTCCACTCCTAGGTATTAACCAAAGGACACAGAAACATTAATTCCAAAGGGCACCTGCACCCCTGTGTTTACAGCAGCACTATTTACAATAGCTAAGCTTTGGAAACAACCCAAATGCCCAAAAATAGATGACTGGATCAAGAAGATGTGGGACATATACACCATGGAATATTACTCAGCAATCAAAAAAGATAAACTCATGCAATTTGCAGCAACATGGATGGAGCTAGAAGGATCATGCTCAGCAAAATAAGCCAGAAAGAAAAAGAAAAATACCAGATGGTCTCTCTCATAGCAGGAGTTCAGAAAACCTAAATAAGGGACCAGGAAGAAGACTAATTCTAATAAAGTAAAAATCAAAATCAACAAGCAACTATAAACCAGAGACACACTATGGGGGGTGGGTGGGGGGAAGAAAAGGGGGAAGGATCAAAACAAGGGGGGCTGGGAATTGTATGGGGACTATAACCAAGATGAAAATGCATACATTGTGCAAAAATGAAAAATTATGTATAAAATATATAAAACTAAAAAATAATATTTAAGCCAAAAAAAAAAAAACTTAATGCTGTTTCCTTCCCCTACTACTTATTCATTTCCCCTTATCTTTTATCCTCCTCTGCAATTTTAAATAGATCTTATTTTCATATATTTTTTAAAAGATTTATTTGTTTATACAAGCACTGGGTACAGTCAGAAGCGTGGGAGGGTGAGAGAATTCACCAGAGCCAGAGCAGGGAACAGAACAGGCAGACTGATGAAATACACTGCTGAGGGGAGCAGTGGGCATGGCAGGAGAGGTCTGTCGTGCCATGTGGGACCCTCGCTGGTGCCTGGGGATCGAACTGGCACTGCAGAGGCTGCAGGCAGCTTCGCAGCCCAGCACTCAACCGCTGCACCACCAGGGGAGGCCCTTATTTTCATATTTAGCTTAGTCTTTTTTCAATTTGTTTTTTAAAAATTGCATCCCTGGGCCTCCCTAGTGGTGCAAGGGGTTAAGTTGCAGCACTATGAAGTTATCTGCAGCCACTGCAGCACAAGTTGGATCCCCAGCCAGGAAGGTGACCCACACGGCACAGCAAACCTCTCCTGTCTCGCCCGCTGCTCCCCTCAGCAGTGTATTTCAGTAGTTCTGCCTAATCTGCTCCCCATTCTGTCTCTGGTGGGTCCTCTCACCCCCCACTCCTCTGGCCTGCACCCCAGCTCTTGTATGCATAATCTTCAAAAAAATTGCATCCCTTTCATTCCATTTCCATTTCTTCATTCTCAACTTTAATGATGCTAATAACATCTACTTTCAATGGAAATATTTGAGTATAGCAAAGGATTTGGTTTGTTTTTGTTTGACACATAGCTGGTGCTCAACTTGTTATTAATTGTAAAAATTAATATTCAGAAAACTTATTTAAATGGGTCTGGAGGCTAGAAGTGTTTTCACACATAGGCAGTCAGCAAACTATAGCACCCAGCCTGCCTTGCATCTCTGACAGGAAGTGGTGTTCCTTCCCCATCACAATGGAAGGTCCCTATTTGCACAGCAACAGCTCAGCTAATAATGCCATGCAGAGGCCAGTGAGTGAGCAGCCACCACACATCAAATTCCCAGTTTCCTCTAATGAACACTTTGGTCACAATAGTCCCTCTAACATTTATCTAAGTTGGGTTGGGTAAGACAGGAGGCATGTGCCTGTGTTGCCATGAGAGTACTTTCCACATTGCCTTTGTTGTTGCTTCCAAATAAACCCATTTTGTTGGTGAAATAACTGTCTGTCTGAGGTCAACAGGATGAAAAGATCAATGAATTCATTTGAATAAGGCTGGTTTCTTAGTGTGGATCCTTTCACACTAAGGAAGAGTTTAAATTAAAAGACTGATGCTAAAGAAAAGCAAACTTATAGTATTCATTCGCTCATGTTAAATGTGGGGATAGGTTTATACTTATTGTGATAAACTGTATTAGAGGGAGAAACATAAAATGGGTACCCTATTCTCCACTCCCAGTTACATGGAGCAGCCTTATACTACAAGTCCCGGTATGCCGTGAACTTCTTGAGGGGAGCTGCTGGGAACTAGGGATAGAAATGAGCAACTCTGTGGACCTATATACCATGGAAGGCAGGCAGGCCTGTCTCTCTCTCTCTCTCTTATGGCCCAACTTCTATCCTGGTACTGCTGGGAAGACTTGGAGGAGACATGTGGGAGAGAGAAGTAGAGAAGCTGCTCCTGGCCCTGAGCAGAGACAATGGCAGCCACCATCATCTTGATTTGCACTTTGATTTTGCATCTCTCCTGTCCCAGTTCTCTGGAACCTGCCTAACCTCATTTTTGGATGTGATTCCCTGCCAGAAGTTACCTTGGGAGTATCTATGTGAGCAAAAATGTTGAGTGCACCCTTTAGGTTGGGAGATCATGGCAATACCTGACAACACAATACCGTAGCCATCAAGCAGCAAGTGGTGGCCAGCAATGATGGGTGCCATTTCAGGTAGTGGTTACTGACTTTTGGATGCAATTAGTAAGCCAAGAGCAGTTTAAGGTCATATCATATCCATTTGGTATCAACCCCCTGTTTCCTGTGCCAACTATGTTAAGACTTGTACCTGGGTTTGTTCTAATCATGTATGGCAAAACACACAGAGAAATTACTGTAATGAAGGAGTAAGTTTGTACTCACATGTACCTAGAACCAGAAGCATGGCATATCACGCCATGCAGGGCCACAGGCAGAAGAAGCAGGGTCAGTCAGGAGGCCTCCTCTCTAGGGAGGCAAAAGCATGATGCAAAGGTTTTATTGGGGTTTTTGAGAGCGATATGAGTGAGGCAGGGTAGGTACACTGATTGAATTTAGGACTGTATAGCCTGAATAATTTTGGTGGGGTCAGGGCTAAAGGGGTGGTCACTAGTTGTCTGGTATCTGGCCCTCCAGTAATTTAGGACAGGAGAAATACTAGTTTGATATAGGGGGATTTGATAAAGGAAATGGTTGGAGGTGGGTAATTTGAATTGGCTGGTTTCTAATTAAAGGTGTGCTCCTAAGAATAAGCTAGTCCTGGAAAAGGCAGTGCGACCAGGATGAAGGACCCACATGCAAGACTATAAAAATACAGGAAGAAACTACAGTGAACATAATTATTTTATATCAAATGACACAGAAATATTTTGTAAGCTAAAACTGAAAAGAGAGACAAAATTGTATATTTCATTTTGCAAAGCAAAAATACTTCCCCATCTATGTCTACATAGGCCCATAAAGGATTATAAATGAAGGAACACATACTTGGTTAATAACTTGGAGTGTGGCAGGAGGGGTAGGGCAGAGGGAGGAAGGTGCTAATGGGGGAGGACAGGAGTCCCCATAACAACATGCCGAACATCCCATTATATAAAATTAGGTGTATAAAGAGATGCATGGAAGAATGACCACTATAATACTAGCAGTGGCTACCTCAGGGTGGTTTGATCCCAGGGCACCATTACATTCTTTTGTGAGTTTCTATAATGCTGGAATTGTTTCTAATGGGAAAGCATATTTATATAATTAGAAAGAGGCAACATAGTGTTTTACAGCTTGTAGAAAGATCTCTTTTATCTTAAAATTAGAAAAAATAATTTCTAGTTTCAACAGTATTCTCCAAAGTCTCAAGCATCCTCAACAAGGAAGGGAAAGAATGAGAGCAAAATGGTCAGGGTTCCAAACATTCACCTATAAAGTAAATGAGTGGAAAGCATTTGGTCAGAAGGTAGCTCTAATATGAGGCCTAACATTTACACACTTAAAACTCCGCATGCTTGGTAATCAAGTTCACAAAACTTCTTTTACTAGCCTCCTGCTGATAAGAATCAGGAAGAAAGAAAGATACGATTAGCTTCATGATAATCATCTGTGGGCTATGACATAACAAGGAGAAACAGTAAAATGGAAATTTTTGTAACATTTCATGTTTTAGCCAGATTCCTCGTCAGCACATTTTTCTGCTCCAATGAATGAAGTAGGACTTGGTTACATCCTAATGAGATTCATAGATGGGGATTCAAGAATGAGTATAGCTGCCACCTGGAGCATTACAATAAACATGGGATTTTCCTCAAGTTAAAACCCCCCTGTGATACACCGCTTGCATTGTCGGAAGCATGGAGTCCAAAAATATTTAATATTAGAGCTGATGATGGTCAAGTAAATGAAGTCATTGGAAAAACTGAGTATCTGAATATGGTTAAAATAATTTTGTTATCTTTGCAATTATTGCTTTTAATATAATTATCTTTACTAAATTTATCCTTGAAAGTGAAAATAAGCAGGGTGGTAATATAGCCAGTGGGAAAAAGTCAATGCTGGTATCTCCACTTGCTGGTCCTTGGGGGCTGCATCTTATTGTTCATATAATCTGTTCTATGTCCCACACAGGGAGGAGGACTTGTCTCTTTCTGCTGTAGCAATAGGGGTTTCCCTAGGCACAGCAGCTGGAATGTAGGGGAAACATTTTGATAAAATAAACCATGTAGAAATCTGTTCTACCATTTTCATAGATACTAACCTTGTGAGGTTAGCATGGGGGGGTGGGGAATCATACATTCAGGGCTAATTTAGCCACCAATGGACAGCTTAAAAAGAAATTCCCACATTAGAAGTTTAACAAATAGATACAAAAGAACTAAAGATTGATGTTCATCCTTCCTCATCACTGCTGCTCCAGGCATCTTGAAATGCTAGATTTAACTGTGATTTGGCTGTAGTCTAAAAAGGGGAGAGAAAGAGTTGATTACTTTACCTCATAATTTTAGACTCATAATATACTTATAAAATATGTCAGATGAATAGTAATTATTTTTAAAGGAAATAACTATGTAACTGTGAATTTCACAACAAAGGTAATTAGGAAACACTTCACATAAAATGTAAGACAATGTAACTTCATTTTAAACAGATATAACAGACTTTATCCAAATTATTTGTTTCCTCCAAAGTAGTTAACACACACACAATGATGCTGCTATTGCTTAAGGCATTTTTACAACTCTTTGGAATCAACTGGAGAAGGTGCCACATTAACACGCATGTGGCTAAGAGTGGACTCAAGTCTATAATTTGATTTGAAAACCCAAAATGTTCATGTTGGCAACTTTCATTATTTGGATGGACCTGACTTTTACAAGTAAGCAAATATCCAAATGTGGGAATAAAAGTGTTCATTCAGATGAATAAAACCATTTTTGCTCCAAAAAGTAATGTGTATTATTAAATAGTGAGTTTATTTACTTAGTACAAGTAAAATAGCAGAAGCACTTGCCAAATGTGTCAGAAATAGCTAACACATTTGTTATCGTAGGTACACAGGTTTCCTCGGGAGATTTCTTTGAAAAATAGCATGCATTTAGATGATTTTTATTTAAAAAACCCAAACTTCACAGTATTCTTACAACTTTAGAGCCATACTTAATAAATGTAATCAGCAACTAGAGTAATTTTAATTCTGTGTTATTTCAAATCAACTCAATTTTGGGGGGAGACTTTGAATGTCTGCCTCCTTATTCATTGGCAAATGACTCAAGGGGTTTAAGATGTTCTCATTTTTGAAGTAACTCAGCATTATGAACCAGGTTTGACTCTTACTCTGCAGCTAAATTAGCACCAAAACTAAAATAATTTTAGATGTATTGCCTTTTGCAACATATAATAGTTCATGTTAAGGGTAACTCCTAATGTATGTCTTAGAATGTTCAATTCCTCTTTGATGAGCGTGACTATAACACAAACAATCCTATAATACAAACAATTCTATAATACAAACAATGGTAATAACAGAAAATTTGGTGTTCTCAGTAAATTTCCCAAATATCAGAGAGGATAGTTGGAACACAATATATTAATTTAGGTTTTTTTTATAGCTGTTAAATAGATCAGAGTTTACTACCACACCTAATCAGGTATACAAACAGAATTCATTATGGCACAAATGTCTAGATACAAAACTGTTACTAAACCTCAGGGAACTATTTATTTATTTCTAGCAGCAATCTACTTATTTGCAAGAGCAATCTACTTACTTACTGAAGTTTGTTCATTTATTCTTTCATCCAAAGTTTACTGAATTTCCTATCTTTCAGTCTTTTTATTTTAACTTCTAAGTTAGGTTATTTAGTGAGCATTTATTCACAAACATATTACCCTTGGAGAAGTTAGGTGATTCCTGTCTCCTACTTTTGTCTTTAACTACCTTAGACATCTATACTACCATAGATCTCATTTCAGATGTAATCTAGAAGCAAAGTTATATTTTATTGTAACTTATTATTGCTATGGTGAACAAAGAAAAAAAATAAGTAGAAATCAAAATACAAGTGTGTATAAATTTTACTGTTCATAGTAGTAAATATAATAATGTGACTGTATCATAGTATTATTAGAAATATATTTTATTGCTTAAAATCACACACAAAAATCTTTGTAGTTAAAAGCTGCAGTAAAAATGTAAGTAGATATAGGGTACATATTACTGTTTGAGATCTACTGATCAAGTGTTAACTACCATCCATTACTTTCGTTTTCTCTACAACATCTCCTCCTAGTGGACACTCAGTCTGTGCTTGAACATAACCATCTCCACCGCACCAGAATGCATGTTCTTCTGACAGTTTTGAATGTTACAGAGATAAAGTGGCATGAGTTTAGAGGGAATCTAGTTCATGTCCAAATAATGAGAAAGAACAAAATCAAACTTAACATCTTCCACACATACATCTTGATAAATTCTAAATTTCTTACTGGTAATTACTGAAAAGTCTTTATAGGTTGACTACCGGGGCATCTATGTCAGCACATCTACCTAAAGTGGTAAATAAAACAACTATGTACTGTTTTATTTATTTGTATTTTATTTTGTGTGACAATAAAAATAAAGATTCTTGATGAGAGATCAAATTTAAACTATAATGTGGGTCCCCTACACATTTCAGACATTTGGAAAAAGTGATTAGCTTGCCTTGACCATGACTAAGTTTTAGTTAGAGGGAAAATGAAACCAGATTTTTTGGAATATAATAAAACAGTCTGCCAATTAAATAATAGGATTTATGCTTAATGACCATAAATCTTGCCCCTTTGGTTTCTTAGGGTAGAACTAAATTCCTCCTCTATCTTAGATATCAAGAGAAACAACCCTAGAGGGTTATATCTTGGTTGTTGGGGAAGTCAATCTCATCTCAAGGGTAGACTTGAAAGGAAACCTAAGAACAATTTTGCTTTGATGATTCTGGTCTTTGGAGATACCATAAACTTGTGCCAGATCACAAATGAATCACAGAACTGGAATTTCAAACCCAGTTCCCAGTATTATTTTTATTTAATTTACCTGAAACCAAAGACTAAGTGAATGTATGTGTATGAGTGTTTTGCTATGTTTTGAATTGTGTTATTTTGCCTCTGTGGGAAACTGTAGCATTTGATAGTTCAGATGAAATACTTTTGAATATAAGCTAAGTAGCAGCTGCACATGTAGGGGCTGGTGTAGACTTCTCTACAGGCATCTGCATCACGATCACATTCACAGTCTATCCATAGTCACAAGAATCCTTAAAACTAAAGCTTTGTGGAAATAATCTCAGCACATACCATTTTATATTACCATGAGAATGATGTAAGAATTATGACTTTCTTAATGCATATAAACAGTATATTTTAAAAGATAAAACATGATAGCTCCGACACTTAAATGTCAATGATTATAGTTCTTGAAATCAAATGTTTGTTGTGTAGCTCTGATTTTCTACTTGTTTTGCTTAATTTCTCATATACATAAATTCTTACATAGTTCAAATTATCACTATAACTATGTAAGGAAATAAATAAGCCATCAGAGTCATATAGTATTTCTATACATTAAGTGATATAGTTTTCTTCTAATATCCTTTTTCCTATACATAAGCCAAAGATATACTTTTAATTTATTTTTATTATTATGAATAATTTATGAAGATAGTCACCTTAATTTGTTTATAATGATCAAAAGAAATGTCTCCAAATAGGTAAATATTTAAATTGTGGTATATCAACAACAATGCTATATAATAAAACAATACTTACAAATTGTTACTAATGATAAGGAAAAAGGCTTATTGTATAATAATAAATGTTTAGCAGGATGCCAAGTTGTATGTCTAAACATATTAACTATGTTAAAAAAACTCATATACATAGGAACAAGAATAAAGTCAATCAAAATGTTAATAGTTCCTAATTTAACAGGTAAATCATTTTTACAATCAGAAAATAGCAAGAAATGTGTTACAACAGGCAAATCATTTTTACAATCAGAAAATAGCAAGAAATAGAAATGACTGTATGATTTGTACAAATATTTACCTCCTCATCATCGGGAACCGGTTCATATAAGGATGGTACCCAAGCAAGAATATTACAGTCTCTGCTACCACTATAAAGTTCCTATAATGCAGAAAGCAAAGATGTGATTGTGATTAGTTTAAAGCTGGTAACAATCTGAAATGAACTTCACCAATTTCTTACATGATTAATTCTTAGTTTAGCTCAAGTAGATTAATTCTATTTCTATTCCCCACTGAACTAGGCCAATGCCCTTTGTAAGATATAGTAAAGCTTTGTTTTGTATTTAAAAATAACATTAGGAGGGCCTCCCCAGTGGCGCAGCGGTTGAGCGCTGGGTTGCGAAGCTCCCGCAGCCTCTGCAGCGCCGGTTCAATCCCTGGCTGCCATACGAGGGTCCCACATGGTGTGCAGACCTCTCCTGCCGCCCGCTGCTCCCCTCAGCAGTGTACAGTCACTCTGCCTGTTCTGCTCTCCCCTCTACCTCTGGTGAATTCTCTTATCCTCCTACGCTTCTGACTGTACCCAGTGCTTGTATAAATAAATAAATAAATGAATGAATGAATAAATAAACAAATCTTTAAAAAAAAATAACATTAGGATATGTTGGAGCTTTTAACATGAAAATTTTACAAAAACACTTAAAATTCTAGTGTTTTTTTAATCAATCATAGTTTTCATTATTTCAAGTGTTAGAGGGAGGAAAAAAAAGATGAAAGTTTGTTCTTCCCTGTCATTAACTGAGTTTAATAGACTATAAAGAGGAAATCATATGAGTTTCTTCTAGCTAAAATAGGCCCAAAGTTCACAAAGGTTTCTTTAGCTCATAGCTGCTTAACTGGCTGCTACTCAAAGAAAGAGCTTTAAGACTTACAACCCATATTCCCTGAGTTTCCTTCACTAGGAGGAGCTTGGGCTGATACACAGTCTAAGTCAGTCTCTATGGATGTGCTGTTTGCACATTGCCAAACAATGCTCATTTTCCCTCCTCAACAAAACTTAAGGGATATGTTACATTGTCTAGCAGTGAAAACATTCCTATGGGGCAGTGAAATAAATGTTCTCATATACAGAGAATATAAATTGGTATAATTTTTTTGGAGAATAGAATCATAATATATACCAAAAGTTGTGGTATACATTTCTAAGAACTTGTGCCAACAACATACATGAAATTCAAGGATATCATCAGTGGTATAATAAAAAAAATAGAAATAACTGCCTGAAAGTATGGTAACAGGACGCTATAACCATTAAATTTTCTTTTGAAGAATACTTAATGAGATAGGAAAATACTCAAAATGAGTATCACAAAGAGAAAAGAGCAGGATATAAACCAAACACTCAATGTGAAGGGGGAAAAAAAAGGATGTAAAACACATGTCAATGACCAAAAGGTTACTATGCAAAGAAGAAAGGGCTAAAAAAAAACCCAGCAAAATGTTAAGGAATCGTAAAACTTTTTTTCTCATAAATATATTTCTGTATTTCTACAAAAATATTTCTAACAATAAACCCTTTTTTCCCTGCTCTGGTATGCAATTTCCTCTTTATAGTCTATAGTCTCAAAAACTATCTGAAGCACGACACAATTAGTAATGTTCTAAAAACAATGAAGGGAAAATAAATTATGAAATTATTTATAGGAAATATGGAGATAGAAAAATTAAATGAAACAGATTTAGTAACACACAATCAAATCTCCTAAATTGCACAAAATTTTATATATTGTTAAATCTAGGCTATATGGTTATACTAGTCATGGATAAAAAAAATATTATTTTCAGATGTTCAGTGCCCATGAACAATTTAATTTCCTAAGAAGGCAAGATATATATATCCAAGATAACTTGGTGTGATAATCTTACAAGGCAATTCATGATAAGTAATGTTATACTGATAGAGACATAAAGAAAGTTCTGTAGGTGTTCAAAAAAGATGGGAAGAGATAGCACTTAAAATAATAAAGACCTCACTTAAATGGAGGGATTTGAATTGGTCTTGAAGTTTTTGGGGTAAGTGCAGGAGTTCATTTGGGGAATTTAGATTTTTAAAACCCCAACAATTCTAAAGCTTACAGAAAAGTTGCAAAAGCAACACAAAGAATTTTCTTCTCTAAAACATATAAGAGTAAATCGCTAATATGAGATCCCTCATCCTTGTATAATTTAATGTGTATTTCCTGCGAATAAGGACATTCTTCTATATAATTACAATGCAACAAATACAATCAGAAAATTCATGCTGATGTCTTACTACCAGCTAGTAGATCCCATTTAAGTTACATTGATTGTCCCAATAATGTCCTTGGAAGCAAAAAAGTCTAGTTTAAAATAACATACTGATTTTTTGTTATGTCTCTTTATTGGCCCCAAGTTTCTGGCTGACCCAGACTTGTCCCAATTATTCCAGGAGGGGAATCAGTATCTTGGCTTTTATTCATTCTAGGCACATCTGTTAGGAAGCTGTGATTTGGTGGAGAGCAATAGTTTGTAGTCAGAATACCTAGGTAAAATCTTGGCTGTGTTTCTAAGTGACTATGAAAAGATAATATCTAATTATTCTAATTCTAATAATTTCTGATAATCATGCTCTGTCAATAATTATCTATAGGTCTAAGATAAGTCTAGCCAACTATCTGTGCTTTACTTTTCTTCTTTCAGAAGTAACAATTAAAATATTTAACAACTGGTACACCAGTACATTGACCAATAAGAAGAGATACTGGCCAGAGAATGGAAGTAGGATCTTGAAGGTGTTGCTTAGTTTTGGGGTTAAGGAGAGATGTAGGAGGTCCCAGGGAAAGGTGTTAAAGCTGGACTGGGGTCTCAGTGCAACTGCTGTTTAATAGATAGCAGGATATGTATTTGATATAACGACACTGTGGGCTGGCTAAAAAATCTGTATTGTATTGTTTATCTTAGATCAAAGTGTCAGGTACAAGTTAAATACTTAGTATTAATGAACAAATGAATAAGAGTTTCACCAGGGAAGGTCCCTTTTAGCTCTCATAATCTATAATTTTTACTCTATCAGTATTTAACTTTCACAAGTCTAATTTTCCTTGCCTACAAAACAGGGAAAATGCAAGTCTTGGCTATATTAAACTCACTTAAAGGGGCATATAAAGTAATTTGTGCAACTGTTGTCTGAACAACAACAACCACCTGCTCCATTGATCAGATGAAAGAGAAAGATCAGGATATTAAATAAATGAAAGCCACAGATCTTAATATATAAGTTGCACCAACTCAAAAGCAGAAAATAGATAAAATTTTAGACTTACACATATACAAATCAATATACACAAGCTATATTTTGAGATTAGATCATATATTTAATTTTTTCTAAAACTGTTAGCAAAACATTATTTTATTTTGCCAGATTTTACTACTTCTTAAACGTAGTCAATATACAAAAGAATTTGTCCCAGTGAATATATTAATACATACATTATATGCCATCCAAAAATCTATGCTGTATTATCCTCTATTAAATAAACCCTAGTTCAAATGTGGATTAAAACTATAATTCCTCAGAATGAAATCATACTGTTTTATATAACAGTAGTCTGGCAAGCTCACTACCTGAACATTTTATGTTCCCTTAAGTATTATTCTTACCTGGAAATTAGATTGAAATACACAGCAGTCAACATTTTTATAATGTCCCTTAAGCATAGTTATCTGTTCTCCAGAGTAAATTGTATAAACAGCAATGGTGCTACCATATGGTACAAAAACAAATTCTGAACTGCAGCCACAGGAGACAGTAAATTTCAATCCTTTTCTACTGTCATTATAAACTTTTCCGTAGTTTACCTGTAGGATATAAAATCATAAAGTCACTCATTTTTCAAATCTGAATTAAAATGACACCAAAGACTGGAAAACATAAATACTTCAAATATAATACTATACTACAAACAGGGCTCTATGAAATCTAATGGGAATGAGAACTATCCTAATGGAAACAAGGGCCAATGATATAAATGCACAATTCACATAAGAGGGAAATTCAAACAGTAAAAAAATAAATATTGACATTTCAACCAGGATAGAAATAAAATTGCAAATTTAGGCACCCTTAGAGAATCATTTTAGGCCACATAGCCTAAGTACTTGGCATTTACCATGTATCACACAATACTAGGTGATTACCTAAGGTTCCCATTTTATGAATATAAATACTTAACATAAATAAAACAATTTGTAATAAACAGCATGTTACATAAATTACTATGAGAGAACTGTAGATGAACAGGCTACTTTTGGCTATGATGTCTTAAAGACAGTACGTACAGGCTTTGAAAAGATTTTGGTGGGGAGGAGGATTTTATAAACTGGGGCTGTGATGTTGGTATATTAATTCACTATCTTATGAATTCTACAGTCCCACAAAATAGATACATAAAGTCACTAAATGAATATGTGGAGTGATGGAGAAATTCCATCATAAGTAGCTCATTTTATTGTCAAACAACTATGAGTATAATAGTAACGGTGACAGGCAACATGTACTAAATGTCAACAATTGCTGTATGTACCCAAGTGCTAAATGTCTACATGCATTATTTAAAGTACTACAAAACTAACAGGTAGAGAACATGATTGTGCAAAAATAACACGCAAGTTAATTTGATCAAGGTCTCCTGGCTAGTAAATGACAGACTCAGAGACTGACTCTAGACTACATAATCAAAAGCTCTGAGATACATTGTTACAAATTATTTTTCTTTCATTCTAAGAAATGATGATTATATGATGATGTAATAGCAATGGGCAGACACTGGCTACTCTGAGATGCTGTAAGCTAGTGTAGAGAGAAGTTAAAGAGAGGTTGCACTTGAGATGAATCTTGAAAGTTGAGAAGCAGCTAAGATAGAAAGGAGAGGAACAATAGCCCAATGCAATTTGGAATAAAATGGGGAATTGGCAAGACAAAGCTGGTGAGACATAAAACACAGGCTCTGTGCACAAAAGGCAGAAGAAGAGGCATTCAGTTTTAAAATATTGAGAAAATACTGAAAGATGTCCACTGGGAGATGAGTTTGGGAAGTAAGGATGTTAAAGTAGAGACATGATGAGGCCCATAGTGAGGATGGAAAGAAAGACGGACATGAAAAAATTGAAGGTAGAGTTAATAGGACTTGTAATTGATTTTTTTTATTTAAATAATAAAGTTTATTTTTATATTCCCCCATACAATTGCAAACCCCCCATTCTGACCCCAATCCCTCCCCTCCTCCCCCCACCCAAAAAGTGTCTCTGGTTCATAGTTTTTTGTTGATTTTGATTTTCACTTTCTTATATTCATTTTCCTGGTCCCTTATTTAAGTTTTCTAGATTCCTGCTATGAGTGAGACCATCCGGTACTTTTCTTTTTCTTTTTGGCTTATTTCGCTGAGCATGATCCCTTCCAACGCCATCCATGTTGCTGCAAATTGCATGTGTTTATCTTTTTTGAATGCTGAGTAATATTCCATGGTGTATATGTACCACATCTTCTTGATCCATTCATCTATTTTTGGGCATTTGGGCTGTTTCCAAAGCTTAGCTATTGTAAATAGTGCTGCTATAAACATAGGGGTGCAGGTGTTCTTTGGAATTGATGTTTCTGTGTCCTTTGGGTAAATACCTAGGAGTGGAATTGCTGGATCATATGGAAGCTCTATGTTTAGTAGGTCCAGAAATCTCCACACAGCTCTCCATAGTGGTTGGACCAGTTTGCACTCCCACCAACAGTGCAGGAGAGTTCCTTTTTCTCCACACCCTCGCCAACATTTGTTGTTGCTAGTTTTTTTAATATGTGCCATTCTCACTGGTGTGAGATGGTATTTCATGGTAGTTTTGATTTGCATTTCCCTGATTACAAGTGATGTTGAACATTTTTTCATATGTCTGTAATTGATTTAATAGCTAGGATAACATAGATGGCAGAATAAAGTTTTCACACTGTGGTGACTGGGTAAATGATATTGCTGATAACTAAAACAATAAATACCAGAATAGCTACTTTGAAAGACTTTGTTCTTTTGTCATGCTAAAAGCTGCCTTTGAATTTTCCCTGCAGATACTAGTTTTGTATTCTAATGCACTGAACACCAGGGTAGAGCTTCCATACCTCAAGATAATTCATTAATGTGTGAGAAGAAATTCAGAGAACTCAGAAATTAGACTTTAATAAAACATAGATTCACAATATTTTTATAAATTTATAAATAATTATACATATGTTAGAAGTATGTAAAAGCTGTGTTTCAGAATAAAACATCAACTATGTATCACAGAGCCGTTAACTTATATACAAAAGATTGAAGGGACTTAAAATTTCTTACTAGTGTGTTTTCTCCATTGGAACTATTCCAAAGCCTCATTCGATTATCTGTACCAACAGTGAGGAGGTGAAGTCCATCACTTGTAAAACATAAGCCATTAACTTTCCCATTATGAGCAGTATTTGCTGTAATGAAAAATATAGTTCAATTTATCTGTTGTACCCAGCACATACTTAAGGCTTGATGGTATAGCTATTTTAAACACATAAACCACAACTATCTGAATTACTTCAAATACATAGCTTCATTATATTTAAAATTAATCAATCTTTAGATGATGAGAATATGGTAAACTGTTATGTTAGAATCATAAAGGAAAACTAAAGGTAAAAAATTCTGGCAATTTTAATTTTTCTTCAGAGTAAGCTGTGCTATCAATTAAGTGGATAGTTTAGTACTAAAATTTTAAATTAGCATCTTTTAAACTTTTTACATACTATTTTTGATATAAAAGTCATTAATTCCTTGGGCTATTAAAATCATATTAGGATTGTCTATTTTAAAAAACTAACAGGGCAAGGATAACTGTTCTAGTTGCAATCAAAATTTATATTACTTTCAAAATGAACAAGTTTGAGAAAGCCTATCCTTCAGTAGCATCATAAATTTAATTAAAAAAACAATACATTTCTGGTCCAGAATTAAGTAGAATCAGAATCTTAATCAAAACAGAAATTAAATTCTATTGTAAAAATGCAACTGAGGGACTTTGTCACCTGGATTGCAACTGATTCATATTTAACACAACTTGCGGATTTTATTCTGATATAATGTATTTTATTCTGATATAAATACAATATATTACTATTCCTTTAACTTACTGTAACTTCCTAAGTGGCACTGACTTGTATTACTTGGCCTCATTAAAGTAAAACAAAGCAGAACAAAACAAATCCAGAGAAGTTTCTACAATTGAAAAACCAGGGGCAGATGAACTGGCATACTTAATTGTATCTTGAAGAAAGACAATAATTTAGTTTATGTAAATTAAGGAATCAATTTATGGTGAATGCCTTTTTAAAATACAATATTTGCAATTTGTCAACATGTTTATTTGATTTCAATTCAAAATATTCAATATAAAAGAACTTTTATTGGCATATTTCTATATTAATGCATTCTTCATTACCTGATTCAACAGCTTGTGACTTTTTCCCATTATGCTGATCAAGAGTAATCAAACATCCTGATGCTCTCCTCACATCCCATAATTTTACTCTACTGTCAGCACTGAGAAGAAATAAATGTTACATTGACATGTAACTAAGATAGTAACTGTACCCCCCACTCATCTTTCTATTATTATAGTACACAGAGGTTTTGTATATTAGTGCAAATATATTTGTACACTTGGATTGTTGAACTCCTTCCTTTTCAGCAAATATTCAATAGTCAATAGTAGCACAAAGAAGTGAAAAAAAATAGGGGGAAAAATCAATCTTTTGGAGATCACGAGGACAGAGTTCTGTGGTTTTTATGTCAATTTTAATGACAGGTGCATCCTTTCCCCACAAAAGCTAGCTAGGCTTGACACATGTCCTTGAGCAAGTTTGTTACTACATCTCTGCTACAGTTTGTTACTCAAATGTTATCTAGATAATCAAGTAGTTAACTACTTTCACTTGCTTTTAAGAATCCACTTGGCACAAATTTGGTGTTTTTCTTTTTTATATAAAAAACAATTGAGGATAAGGTTAATAAATGAGTATAATACATTATCACTTGGTTTCCTATACTCAAACCAAACTTGCTCAGATATACAAGAATTAAATTTAATGTCTTCTAGAAATTAGACACTTTTTTTTTTTAGATTTAAAAAAAAAATTATTTATGCATACAAGAACTGGGATACAGGCCAGAGGTGTGGGGGGTGAGAGGATACACCAGAGGCAGAGTGGGGAGCAGAACAGGCAGATTTGCTGAAATACACGCTAAAGCGGGCAAGCCAGGAGAAGTCTGCTGCACCATGTGGGCAAACTCGTGCTGCAGTGACTGTGGCCAGCCTCTTAAGTTGCGTCTCAACCCCTTGTGCCACCAGGGAGGCCCTAGACACTTATTTTATTTACATTAAATAAAAAGAAGGCAAAACCATAATCACACATCAATTTCAACTTCTATTCTTAAAATACAAATCTGTTCAACTAGTGCTATCATGTCCTTACAAGTGACTTCAACAATATTCTAACCTACTAGGTTTATTCTGGGAATTTTAAATAAGAGTATTAAATTGTATTTCATAAGTCTATTTCTTGTTTATAAATCCTTTTTCTTTTTTTATGCACAGAGCTTTGTTCTTGTAACTTTGATTGTGGGTCAACCCTACCCAATTAGAAGAGTTAGCAAAAAGCCAGTAATTCCATCCTCAACTTGGTTTTCTTTCTTTCCAGCTGGGGAAAGCATCTGCAATGGGATGAGTGTGAGGATTTAATTCTTTTCTGAAATGAATTAACTTTGAACATATCTGACTCCAAATACTGAATACTAGGTCCACTCTGGCATTGATTCAAATATCTGGGGATATTCTCTGAATTGAAAGTTTCTTAGCTTCTAATATGAAGAACATTAGGTATGAACAATGTAAATCTACTAAAGCATGGAGATGGCCACTAGCACTCTAGCTCCTCACCATCACATCTTTTTAGTCAGCCTTCTGATTCATTCTAGACCTTGCTTTATCTACTTCAGAATCCACAAATTTCAGTATCACATTTTGTAAATTATTAACTTACGTTTCTCTGGTGACTAAACTGCGATAAAGAGGGTTAGCAGCTCTGAAAATCCAGAAACATACCTTCATAAAATATGAATAGATGTTATAATAATTCTGTAACACATTTTATTAAAATGCCTGTATCAAAATCTTTACTATATTTCTTTATCCCCATACTATTCATATTTGTATTTCATTAGGTCCTTGATGCCTCCTATAAGCGGTTTTGTGATTTTGCTTCCTTCCTTTTGCCCATTGCTTCAACAATTTTCAGACACTGAGCTACTTTCCATTAAACACTGATAACTGTCAAGTCTGTGTTATTTAATGTTTGGATTTCTGTGGTTTATACAGCTGTGGCCTACACTTTCTACTGAGCATGCAACACATACCAGTAATCCTATGTGCCCCTAACTACTGTCCTCTCCCATTCTCCAAAACTTTACAGCCTTCTCTCTAAATTACATTTCCATTCCAATATTTTCAGTAGGTAGAAAGAAAACCAACTTGAGGATGGAATTACTAGCAAGTTCTACTCCACTAAAAAACAGTAGGGGTCGGGCCTCCCCGGTGACGTAGCAGTTGAGCACTGGCTTGCGAAACTGCCCGCAATCTCTGCAGCACCGGTTACATTCCCGGCTACTCCCAGGCCAAGGGAAGAGGGTCCCACATGGCGCACAGACCTCTCCTGCTGCCCGCTGCTCCCCTCAGCAGTGTACTTCGGTCCTTCTGCCTGCTCTGCTCCCCGCTCTGGCGCTGGTGAATTATCTCACCCTCCCGTGCTTCTGACTGTACCCAGTGCTTGTATAAATAAATAAATTAAAAAAAAAAAAACAACCACAAAACACAATAGGGGTCAATAGGTTTGTGATTCTTGAGCTTCTATGACAAAGTTACATATTTAAGTGTGTTCACATCCACCTTCCCCCCTTGCTTTTAGTGCCCTTTGTGTGTCAAATCAAGAGTCACCCTTCTGCCTGGACCCTGGATTCTACTTTTCCTATCTATTTCAGGTCCTGAAGCACTAACGTATTCCCTCCAAATCTTAGCTTCACTAATTTCTCTCTACTGGTGCTTTCTGTCTAGCATTTCAATATTAAGACTCTTCCCTCTAACCAACAAAGCCTTCAAGTACCTCAGACTTCTCAGAGTTAAGTGTTCTAGCTCTTTTTTCATATTATACCTCGTAGAGATATACTTCTTTTTTTTTTTTTAAGTTTTATTTATTTATTTATACAAGCACTGGGTACAGTCGGAAGCGCGGGAGGGTGAGAGAATTCACCAAAGCCAGGGCGGGGAACAGAGCAGGCAGAAGGACCGAAATACACTGCTGAGGGGAGCAGCGGGCGGCAGGAGAGGTCTGCGCGCCATGTGGGACCCTCCTCTGGTGGCCGGGGAGCAGCTGGGGATCGAACCGGCACTGCAGAGGCTGCAGGCAGCTTTGCAACCCAGAGCTCAACCGCTGCGCTACCAGGGAGGCCCACATAGAGATATACTTCTATGAAAACATTTTTTAGAATGTTCTGTAATTGTCCGGTTTTCTGACTATCTTGCTCATTATGCTGATAGCTTCTTCAAGGGAATATTCCATGGTTACATCTGTATCCCTGGCAAAATGCTTGGGATGTGGTATGTAGTCATTGCATATTACTAAAGTGAATTAGGAATGGAAGTATGTGTTAAATTTTATTGAAAATAATTCTGGACAAAAGAAAATGAGTAAAAATGCTACTACTTCCAAATTAACAGAGTGCTAGACTTTTGTATGCAAAAACAACACCGCACAGTTGTTCTATAGGTAGCATTAGTAGATTTGCATTACTACACAGAGACTCTTGTTTTCATCTTTATTTCAAAAGGTGAGCACCTTCAAAATGTATAGCTAGGATTAGGATTATGATGCAAAAGAATATTTCTTTTGGTGATATGAATTAAAATACATAACAATTATTTCACTTTAAGGGCCTATTAAAAACTAAATATGCATCTTTCAGTCTTTTAAAAATGCTTATATTAATTATCAACTTCAAAACCAAACAACTTGCATTTTACCTTGCAGTTGCCAAGATATATTCGTAACGTGGTGACCATGAAACAGCCAGTATTTCTTGTCTGTGACCTATAAATACAATTGTTTAAAAACTCTTACAAGATATTAAAAATCTAACAATATGGCTTAATTAATTTTGTCTGATTCTAACAAACATGGAGACTAAACACTGATATAATTTATATGATGCTTTTCACATTCATAATAATCTATGTTTAACTATTAACATGAAGTCTACAGGGCATTTCTCACACGTGGTATTTTATTTGAAAACATCTGGTTTTGCTTTGGAAAGGTCAGAACAAGCAAGTCTTTATTTTTCAAATATAGCCTACTAAGGCAATCCATCAATAAGTGATATAGGTCACTGACTTATCTCTACAACAAAAGCCACTGCCACTAACCATACAAAATATCCTAAAGAATAAAAATGTCTACTGAATTTTCAGAAAGTTATAAAAGAAAAAAAAATTTTAGTTCATGATTGTAAAAAGGCATTTGTATAACAACTTTTTTTCTTAGAAAGCACAGGTAATAACTTCATAGGGTAAATGATTTCAGCTTTATAGTTAACTTTAGCTAACTAAATTATTCAAATCAGATATTTTTATCTACCCAGCTTATATTAATAGAAATTCATGATAATGTAAAATAAATACTGTCCATCTCACCAAATTTTCTTGGAATATTATATTTCTTAGAGCTGAGTAAAAATGTACATTTCTGAATTAAATCCCATCTTACATTGCTTAGAATTAAGGGACGCAATACTGATTTTAAAAAAGTAGCAAAGATAATTAAATGAATATACCTATAACAAACAGTAACATTTCAATATTATTCTCAACTATCTCTATTGAGAATAAAAAGATCTAAGAATTAAGAATGCTTACTCTGACAGAACAAAATTAAACAATGCTCATGAAACAAGTACTAATGTAAATTTCATAAGTAGTTTATGTTTTAAAATGTAAAAAAAAAAACAGGTTTTGAGTTAGACCTTCCATATCCTTTGAGCTTCCCTTATGGCCATTGTTCATATAAATGTATCCTCAATAGTTCAGTTTTATAAGAATAATACACAGAAGGATCTTTATTTCCCTGTTGACTTTTAACAACTAGCACAAAATACATCAGTCACGTCTCTTACAAAGAATACATTGTTAGTAATGTTTCTTTTTATTGAATGGTTTACTCAAAGTACTTGTTGTTTCAAATAAAAAAAATACCCTGTAGAATGTGGGAACAGGATCCAGACTTTAAGTCACAAAGTTGTACTTTGGGCTCTCTAGTACCAACTGTTAAAAATAAAACAAAAAAAATGGTTTAGGATAGTTTTATTACAAATCATCATCAAAAGGAAACTAGAAATTTTCATTTTGAATTATGACATTTTCATTGTATCCATACAGAAGCATATAAACGATAAAAATACAGCAAATTGTTTTTATTGCTTATAATTACAAAATTATCTTAGTTGTAACTACAGTATTAAGAAAAGTATTGGCTTTTCGTATTTAATTTAGAAATAATTATAGATATATAGGAAGTTGCAAAGATAGCATAGAAGGCTCTATTTCCCTTCACCCGGACTTCCCAAAGGTTATGTGTTAGTTATATAATTCAATATCAAACCCAGGAAATTTGTATTGCTACAACACGTGTACAATTCTGTTCTATTTTATCATGTCAAATCATTTTATTTTAATAGCTTACTATTTTCATGTTAATAATATACTTTCAAGTTAATAATATATTTAATAATCACTAGTTATAGATTCATAGAAACTCTGGACACAGACTGAATGGACCTTAAATCCAATTTAGTGTCCAGATTTTCTTTATAGAGGAGACAACTAAGTGATATCTGGAGGTGAAGATTCATGTAGTGCCACAGTGTCACAAATATAATGGCACCACAGAGACCTGATACCCGAAAAACATGTTTTCTCCCTCATACATGAAAACTTTTGTTGCGGGTGTTTTCATATAAATGGGTGTTTAATTTGAATCATACAATCTTAGAGAAAGGAAATATTTTCTTGTTTTATTATGTCCATTTGAAAAAGATGTGAAATTTTATTAATGTAAAATCTTTGAAACTTTGGTGGTTTCCAAGTAAGTGTTTAGGGGATAGAAATCTTTGAATTTAGCCACTAGAACAGTGCCTGATTCACACGGTACCTGTCAAACTAGATATAAACAGTAGCATATACTTATTTAAAAAAAAATTGTGATCTTCATCTGGATTAAAATGCCTATATCAAAACTAAGTAGTTGTTAAAAAGGAGAACATTTTCAAAGTTTCAAACAAAACAATACACGTACAAACCTGCTACCAAACAGTGCTTGGTGGCAACGGGAGACATATGATGACTATAAACTGTTTCTTCAAAATTAAATACATCTGCAGTCTGATAATCAAAAGATATTTTCAAAGTGTAAGTTCTAATTATAATCACAAGAGCAAAAAATTTTCTGTTTACTTATTTTCAATGGTCAGCAATTTTTAATTGATTGCTAGCAATTTGCCTGCTTAACTTAAACATAGGAATATAACATCTTCAAGAACCTGGTAAGTTTTTTTATTTTTATTGATATAGCATTGGTTCACAATTCTGTCTGTGTTTCAGAACAGATATAAGAAGTCACACCACTTCAAGTGTATGTTAGCACAGCACTCCTACCACCAAAGTACCAATAACCTTCCACCACAGTCCAGTGGGGACTCTATCCTGTTCTCCCAACTCCTCTCCCCCTTCTTGTGGCCTCAGCTCTTCAGTTAGACTCCATGGGTTTATTTTAGTTTGATTTCATCTGTTCCTTTGCTTTGTTCCTGTATAATCCAGATGTGAGTGCATCATCTGGTGTTTGTCTTTCCCCTCATTTATTTCACTTAGCATCAATCCCCTCCAATTCCATCCATGTTGCCACAACTGGAAAAATTTCACCTTATTTTTTTTTTGGGCTGAGTAGTATACCATTGTGTGTATGCATCACTTCTTTTGTAACCATTAAAAAACTTGATAATTAAAAATCCTATTATCTATAATATTGTGGGGAAAAAATAGTCTTTCATTAATAAGTCCCAGAAACTAAGAAAAGATAAGTGCCTGATAAGTGCTTACCATTTTCCTTTCTATTCCATTCTCAAGCCTGTAGCATCTACATAGATGATTCAGCCAATATTCTGCCTCTCAGACTCCTACATCTTAGCTACCACACCCAGGACACATTTGTCATCACCAAGTTCTATGTCAAACAGCCAGTTGTGAATGCAAAGGAAAAATTCTTGAAGGAAATTAAAAGGACTACTCCAGTAAACACAAATAATAAAAAAGAGAAACAGCCTTACTGTTAATATTGAGAAAGTTTTAGTGGTCTGGATAGAAAATCAAAACAGCTACAACATTCCCTTAAGCCAAAGTCTAATCTACAGCAAGATCCTAATGCTCTTCAATGCTGTGAAGACTGAGAGAAGTGAAGAAGTTGCAGAAGAAAAGTTTGAAGCTGGTATAATTTAAGGAAAGAATCTGTCTCTATGCTATAAAAGAGTAAGACTGTCAATTTTTTAAACAAACACCCCCCAAATTTGTATGGAACCACAGTAACTCTGAATAGTTAAAGTAATCTGGAGAAAAAACAAGGATGGAGGTATCACACTTGAAACTTCTTTTTTAATGATGCTACAGCAGTCAAAAGTAGCATTCTTTTGGCATAAAAACAGGCAAAGACAGGAATGAAATATAATAGAGTGCCCAGAAATAAGCCCAGTTATATATGGTTAATCGATTTATGACAACAGTCAAGAATATACAATAGGGCCTCCTTGGTGGACACAACCTATGAAGCTATGAGCAGCCATTGCAGCACAAGTTCGATACCCGGCCAGGGAGCTACCCAGATGGTGCAGACCTCTCCTGTCTCGCCCACTGCTCCCCTCAGCAATGTAATTCAGTCAGTCTGCCTGTTCTGTTTCCCACTTTTGTCTCTGGTGAATCCTCTCACCATGACCCCCTCCCACATCTCTGGCCTGTACCCCAGTTCTTGTAAGCATAAATAAATAAATAAATCTTTTTTTTTTTTTAAAAGAATATACAATAGGGAAAGGATAATCTCTTCAAAATAAAACTGGACAGCCATAGCCAAAAAAATGACACTGGATCACTATCCTACTTCATACACAAAAATAAAATGGATTAAAGTCTTAAATGCAAAACCTGAAACCATAAGACTAGAAGAAAACATATGGTATGTTAAGGTTCTTGATTTTGGTATTGGTGATGATTTGTTAGGATTTGATACCAAAAGCAAAGGTAACAAAGCAAAAACAAACAAATTGACTACATTAAACTGAAAAGCTTCTACACAGCAAAGGTAACCACCAACAAAATGAAAAGGCCGCCTATCAAATGGGAGAAAATAGCTGAAAATCAAGTATCTGATTAGAGGGTAACATCCAAAATACATAAAGAATTCATACCACTCAACAACAAAAAAGCAAATGTTTCTATAGAGGAATCTATATTAAAATCTGCATCAAAATACACAATCTTTTTTAAAAAAAATTTATTTTATTTATTTATGCATACAATAACTGGGGTCTAGGCCAGAGGTGAGGGTGGGGTAAGAGGATTCACCAGAGACAGAGTGGGGAGCCAAACAGGTCGATCTACTGAAATACACTGCTGTGGGGAGCAGTGGGTGAGACAGGAGAGGTCTGCTGTGCCATGTGGATTAACTCCTTGCCTGGGGATCGAACTCATGCCACAGTGGCTGGTGATAGCTTGATAGTGCTAAGACTTTAACGCCGGCATCACCAGGGATGGCCAAAATACACAATCTGATTTAAAAAATGGACAGAGGAACTGGTTAGACATTTCTTTTCCAAATAAGACACAGAAATGGCCGACAAATTCATGAAAAGATGCTCAACATCAGTAATCACCTGGGAAATGCAAACCCAAACCATGAGATATTACCTCACACCTGTTAAGAATGTTTATCAAAAAGATAAGAAGTATTGGTGAGGATGTGGAGAAAGGGAACCCTTGTGACTATTGTTGGGAATATAAATTAGTGCAATCACTACGGAAACAGTATGGAGGTTCTTAAAAAAACTAAACATAGAACTGCCATAGGCTCTATCATCTCCAATTCTGGGTATGTGTCTTAAGGAAATGAAATCACTGTCTCAAAGAGATAGCTATACTCTGTTCCCTGCAGCATTATTCACAATAGTCAAGTCATGGAAACAACCTAATAGTCCATAATAAATGAAGAAATAATGATGTAGTAGTATCTTCAATACAATGGGATATTATTCAGCATTTAGAAAGATGGAAACCCTATCATTGTGACAACATGGATGGACCATGAAAGCTTTGTGCCAAGTGAAACAGGTTAGAGAAAGACAAATGCCCTATGATTTCACTTACAAATCACCTTAAAAAGCCAAACTTATGAAACAGAATAAAGTGGTGGTTACCAAGGGCTAGAGGGTAGGGGCGGGGTGGAGGAAATGAGAAGATGTTGGTCAAAGGGTATAAATTTCCAGTTTCTAAATGCACTAGAAAAGGGATAAATTGCATTGGGAATGGATACAAGCTGGTACAAACAATACAATCAAGATGTGATCAGAAGGCAAAATATGAACTTAATGGCAGCAAATCATTTATGTTAAAAAAGGGTAGAGACTAAGGTTGAAGGGGTGAGGTTATGGAAAATTTAGAAACCCAGGCTAAATTTAGATAATGGGAGTCACTAGAGGGTTTGGCCATAGACACAATTAAACCACTTTATAATAAGATTAATTTTTGGATAAAACTCACAGTGGAAAATATGGGAAGAAAAGAAAATGTAAGTAGTAGTCTAGCTGTACTATGGCGGTGAGAGAAATATAAAACAAATATGAGTATCTGAAGGAAGAATTGCTCAGCTGGAGCAATTCTCACAATGGATGTGAAGAGTGATCGTGTTCAGTTTGGAACATGTTAAGTTTGAAGAGATGACTCTACATTCAAGGAAGAGAGGTTCTGCCAACAGGTAGAGAAATATGGGACTACAGTTCAGGGAAAAGATTAGCCATAGAAGTATAAATTTAACCAAATACCTTAAAATTATTTTCTACTCTCTACCTTTAACTGTACTATAATATTAATAACCTTCTCTTCCTTTAGGTTTTTAGGTCAGTAGGCAACAGGATTTTTCAGTAGGCAAAGGAATGTATTCCTTTGACCACTAAACCACAATAGTTTTCAAATAATAAAGACAGTATGAATAGCTAATGGCTTTTAAACATTTACTATATGCTAGGCATGTTCTGAGTACTTGACACATATTGATTTGTTTAACCCTCACAACCATTCTGTAAGGTATAATCACTACCCTCATTTATGAGGAGAAAGTTGGAACACAGAGAGCTTTAGACACTTGCCCAATGTCACTAGTCTGTCAGCAGCAGAGCCAACATATGAACACATGTAGTCTCGTTCTCCTAAATCACTATATTGCTTTTATCTCTAACACACATGACATCTTAGCAGGATGGTTAAGGATTAAATTCTCCTTATCCTCCAGAATGATCTGGAAAAGTTTTTATGTACTTACTTGTAACGTATTTGTATCCCATACTTTCAGAGTTTTATCAAATGAACTTGAAATAAACATGCCAGTGTCATGAGGATACCATTGTACAGTCTCCACACTATATTTGTGAACATCAGGATGGCTCCTACAAAATAGCAATCAAAATTTAGAGATAACTGACTTAAGTGAATTTACAAACTGATACTGTATTATTAACAAGTAGCAGCCTCAGATATGGTCAAACCTTGTGGTCCTAGCTGTTCAGGGAAAGACTGAGAATGTCTAGGTGCCTCAAGTTTTAGGTTTTTATAATTGTATGTAGATTCTGGCTTCATACCAAGACTCATAAAATGTGAGACTTCCTGTTTCTGAACCACAGCCTGGAGGGTTCAGCCAGCTATCCTGGACTCCTTCATGGGAGGGGCAGGGATGTTTCCTTACTGGCGGAGATACCTCTTCTTGTTTTGGATTTGTTTTTGCCAAATGTCATGGTATCAGCACTATCCTTTTTGTAATTATTAAGTGCCTCACACACCTCCATGGTATCCTACCCAATATCGCTTCGTCAATCCTACCTATCACCAGTAGGATCATGATCTTGTTGGAGACTCAGTTATGGCATCACAATGTGAAGGGGATGCATACTCTGAACAGTAAATTAACACAGTGTATGTGTAACTTTAGTGACTCTTAATTCAAACAAACTTGCTGGTAAGAAACACTTATAAGATAATTAGGAAATGTGAATACTGACTAGATATATAATAACAGGAATTACAGTGTATGTGAGATGATGGCACTATAGTTATGCTTATAAAAAGTCTTTTTTAGAGATAAACAGGTATCTGTGAATAAAATATATTTCTGGGATTTGCTTCAAATTAAGCTTTAGAGTGGGTGGAAGTAGAGATATAAAATAAGATTGTTTATAATGAAAGTTGTTGAAGCTGGGTGATGGGTACATAGTTCATTATACTTTTGTTTATGTTACAAATTTTTCATAATAAAATAAGCAAAAGTTTACAGAAGACTATTACAATGTTATACAGAAAGGACTATCATGAGTTCTGATTTCTTAAGGTAAAGGTTTGGATCATGATAGTGGGTAAAGGAGCTTGAACACTGTGGTGCTACCTGAAGGATTAAGAACATGAAGAAGGAAAGCCTTAAGTGTCAGTTCTGGCCTTGAGACAGCTGCAAAACATAAAAGAACTATAGTATCTACCCACATTTCCTTTTTTCCTGTCATGTATATATTCATTATTTTAACTAATTTCCCTTCTTTCCTCTAGAGCTTACCTCCATTATTTATAAAGGTTAACTATGAAATTATTAACCACAGATTGCATAATACTGATATAGGATCACATAAAACTAGTGTAAAAATGGACATTATCTTAAACTGCAACTAGATGTAACAAAACAAACTTATGCTCATCACCCAAAGGGAAGGGAATGATGATTACATTTTTGGTTGTATTGTGGTATCTGCATTAGGTTAGGCCAGAACTAATTTTTATCAAAAAAGGGTAAGTGTGGGAAGAAAGTTATATATGGATGTTGGACAGCCAAGTGAGTGGACTGCAGTGTCCACTGTGCTCAACTGCTATTTGAGGCAAATCCTCTTTGTTTTACTAAAAGGCAGGGTCGTGCCCTATGTTACATAAAACAAAGGACTCCACACATCTCTTTCCCTTCCCCTTGGCATCAAGGGCATGGAAATACATCCTGGGATTCATCAATCTTGCCTGGGACTCTAAAACTCAAGCTAGTGATGTAAACCCCTGGGACAGTTAGCAATTATTTATAGCTGTGAAGTTGAGTCTGTGTAGGTGACATGTAGCAGATTCAGTCTAAATTGCTTCTGCGATGTGACCTTGACTGTATTTTATTGGCTTTCAGCTCATTTTTTTTTTACATTTGATTTTCCCACCTTCCTATTAGTTACGTGATACTAAATATCCTTCCAATAAATTTCTGTTAAGGTAAGCAGAAGTTTCTATTTGTACCTACGAATCTGGACTTATATAGAGATTTTACAGCCTGAATAAAATATATCTTTAATACAGGAATCACAAATAAAAAGGTCATTTATATTTTAAATTTAAAAACATAGGACAAAATATCACATTATTCTCTTACTATATATATTCTATTATTCTTATTACATTAGTAAGAATTTTTGGTAGAGGAGTAGAATCTCTTCGGTGATCAAGAACATTTCATGTAAAGCCAAAAAAACCCAAAACTGGATAGTCAAGTCACATTAATTTGATGCCAATTTTAAAACTAGACTATAAAGTGTTTGAATGTAAAAATGTTACTTTATTTATAAAAATGCTTATATATATGTATATGTGCATTTATAATTTCAAGATTTATAAGTTCAAGATTTTAAAGACAGATACTGAATCCAAGAAGAAAGTCACAGTAAATCAAAAGATTGACACACAATAAGCATTTATTTGACTTTATATAGCAAAGCAGATCATAGCCCTTCATGGAATAAAGTCACAGAGCTCATGGTAAATATGAAAATAGGAATTTGCCATATAGCAAATTAAACTTAATGATAAAATGTCAGCCAAGATAAAATAAAAGTGAATTAAATTAGCTAATATAACTATCTTCCACTTTAGAAATTAGATTTTTGTTTTTGTTTTTTTGGTAATGGTGAAGAGTATATAAACCCACTTCCAGAGTATTTGAGGTGTTATTTTATTTGGATCAAGTTTCCTTATAATTATACTTTTTTTCATTTACATGGTAATTTTACACTTTTCAATGTGCTTTTTAAAAGATATCTCATTTAATTCTCACAGAAAGCTGCTAAAAATGGCAGGGTGAATGTAATTATCTCTGAGACAAATAATCTGAAGCTCAGAGAATTAGTTTCTGAAATCTGTATTTCCAAAGTGAAGTGTTAGAGCCAAGAAACAATCATAAATCTCCTCACAAGTATTTCATGGGCTTATACACCTATTTTGTGCTTTGAGAACAGCCTGACACAGAGTGGTTGCTGGTGTTACTGTTCATGGACATTTTTTCTCTTGAAAGAATTTCCTCAACACCCATTCTGTCTGTTAATTCAAAGTTCTGCTCAATATCTGATCAAATATAGGTGATGAGAAAGAATTAAATGACCATTATGAATAAGTTATAACAAAGTCACAAAGATATTTCATTAGAGAGTTAAAAGAAATTCTCATAAGGCTGGAAGCCAATAAAGAACAGTCAGAAAACTTAGGACAAATAAAAATATGTTTTTAAGTTTGGCAACTTTAAGAAGAGAAGTAAAAAGGGGATGTGTGCGCACACAGTGTCTGTTTGGTGAGGGTCTGCCAGCACATTTACTGTTTCTAGTCATTAATGTTTTTGTTCTGTTAATATCAGTTGAAAAATATAACTCGTGTTTATAATTACTAAAAGAGTCATAGCGAAGCCGATAAGTGGTATTAAAAACCACAGTTACATGGTGTACCAAGTAGGTGTAGAATGAAATTAAACATTTAAAAATGAAATCCTTTTGAAAAGCAATACCAAAGTTGTTTTGGGAAAATCACAAGTTAAAAGCAGCTATACCTGAATTTCACTTATTTTCAAAAGAATTTCAAGGAATATCCATAAAAACATATCATTTGAACAGTTTGCTTCACATATTCACATGACTGCAATTCTCATGTTTTGCACTGAATGCAAAACTTACTTAACTGTTTATAAATTCATGAATTAGATTCTTAATACACACCTGCCAACGGAACACACTGCTTTACATGTGTAATAAGGTTGTCTGCTGGAGTTCTCAAGATCATAAAGTACAATCACACCATCTGAACCACCTGACAACATACTGATAAAAAAGTTCACATTAATTTATCATTTTATGTAATCCATTTATTGGTAATTACATATTTCTGAAAATTAATGATCTGCAAACACCCAATTAATATGCCCACAAACACAAAGTCATTCTTCATTTATAGACTTCTAACAACTAAAATTTCTTAATCTGACAGATATAAGAATGAATACATTCAATCTGTGATAATATAAAATTTATTTTCATGACCCCCAAAAAGAAAGTACAGTAGAAACAAGGTAGCAAAAGACATTTCTTAATAAAGTAAACTACTACAAAGTTATTTTAAATGTACTAATTTTAACCATGCTAAATGAAAATGGAATTGGACAGACCAGCTATTACTGACACTCACGCTCTGACCCCTGGGCAGGTTTTTTTTACCTCTCCAAACTTTTCAACAGTTGTGAAATGGGGGACATTATCACCTAAATCATAAAATTCATATAAAGATAAAAGTTAAATGCAAAGTGTCCTTGTCTTTCATACTATCCTGGCAAAAAGGTTACTATCTATTATGTATATACTTATTTAAAAATGGAGCACCTACAACATACTAGGCACTCTGCTAATACAGCTATGAATAATAATGGCATGGTTCCTGTCTTCCTAGAGCATACAATACAGTAGGAAAGACAGACCTTCAAACTTACATATCCATATAAGGTATTGCTATTTGCTAATATTATTGTTCACCTTCAATCTTCATGTTAACCCTCTGTTCATTTTGGTTCTTTGATTTTATTTTCTGGTAGATTCCTAAGGGTTATTGAGAACAATATCCCCTGAATTCTTGTATGTTATTGGCAATTTGTCTGATCTTTGCTATTTGAAGTCATTGTAGCTGGATGTAAAATCCTTAAGTTACATTTTATTTCCTTGAACAACTTAGACAAAAACTCACATTTCTTTGGGCATAAAGTCCCAACATGGTTTTCTTTATATACATATGTTTCAGAGCTTATTTACTCTAGGGAAGTTTTCTTGGATTATAGTTTTAATATTTATCAGTTTTCTTCCTTTTGGTTTCTTCTCTGGGAGCACCTATTATATTTGCTAGATCTTTTTTGCCTAGATATATACCATTTCTTGATCCTTTTCTTTTGTTTCTCTTTGATTTTCACATTTATCTCCTTTCCATTTTCTATTTTTAAGGCATTAACCTCTTGTATTATTTGCTTGTGTTCCTTATGCTTTGGTCTTCACTTTTGACATATTTTCTTATTTCTAATTCTTCTGTACGATCTTTTCATTTCTGAGGTTTTCTAATTCCAATTGATGTTATTCTTTCATATATTTTTTTCATTGTATCTTCTTATCAGTTAATATGGAATTTTACTATAATTTTACTCTTATCCATTTTTCTGTGAAATTAATTTTCTATAAGTTTTAGGAGAGAAGCTTGGTTTGGGATATTTAAAATTTTACAACTTTAGAACATCCTTTTTTTGGTAATATGTTCAAAATGTGATGACTTTCAGAAATTTCTTTGTTTTGCACAACTTGCACGTTTACCTGGGCTATCTTTTCCCTTTGTTCCTATTGTCCCTATACTGTTCAGTTTGGATTATATTTCAAGTTTTCTTCAGTGTAAAATTCTATCCTGTAGGGGATTTTAGCTCAGCTGGAGAGAATACAGGACGCAGACTACTTCAGTCCTTTCATGTTTTGCTGTAGACTCCTCAAATAACTGGAATATGCTATGCTCTCCCAATTTCAGATTCTGTATACAAACTGGCTTGCTGATCTTTCAACTAACTGTCACTTACTTTAGATTTTTAGGTCAATCAGATGCCCCATTGCTTTGACTGCTTCTGGTAAAGATGCTGATACCACACAGATCATATAGTTTTTAATGGTTTGTTTCCACTGACTAAATTTTCTGGCTGGTGGGGAAACTTCATGACCTGTACTTATTAAGTGTTATACACTGATTTTTTAAATTTTGCCATCTTTAGCCTCTTTGCTATTTAAAGTACCTTGTACTTTAAAGGAGCTTGTATCAGAAATGAACATACTTTTCTTCATTGAGAAAGTCTTGCTACAAAAGTATATCAACTCATCTAAACTCTGTGGGATAGTAGATTTTCATTCTACTACAACTCCTTATCTTGTAAGCCAGCTACAAAGGGTTCCTGAACTAAAAAGCATGTCCAAGTAGCTGTGATTCATAGACTTGTTTTAAGAAGAATTCAATACCAATTTGTAAATCAATTAGGTTAATTTAAAAGCAGTTGTTCAAAGTTGTTTACGCAAACAGTTCTAAAATCCAACTGATGATGGGCAATAAAGAAAGACAGCAATATCATGCTGAAGTTTTTTTAATATTTAATGTTAGCATCATTACAAAAATTTTGTAGTTACTCTAATTGTGTATCTACAGATATATTTGTAAATTTTAATAACTACAATTTTTACTTTGGTTGATAAAATGCTGCAGCTTGTTTGGATATAGCTGAGTTACATGAACAAAACAACCAAATCCAAAAACAATTTTGCTTCATATTTCACCTTTGTGAAATATGTTTTTTTCCCCTTAATCATGGTACTACATATATTATTAATGCAAAAAACAATAATTTTCAAAGTTAAATTTTTTAACAAAATATAAATGGTATTTATAAGAATGTCAGATGTTTCATCTTTTTTTAAAAGAATGACTTTCACTTTTCTTTGATCCACTAACTGGGTGAAAAAATTGAGACTTTATGGAAATTAGTTGATTTTGTACTTAAAAGTATCTGATGGCACTGGCATTATTTCACTATGACATTATTATTCTGCTAATAAAGCAAACAGATAAGAGATAAAGCTTCATGTTTTTATATGGACAAGAAAATCTGGTATTAAAGATGAATGAATATAAATTGGGAGAGTTTAGAATATATATAAAGAGGGCCTCCCCGGTGGCGCAGCAGTTGAGCGCTGGGTTGCGAAGCTGCCTGCAGCCCCTGTAGCGCCGGTTCGATCGCCGGCTGCTCCCCGGCCACTGGAGGAGGGTCTCACATGGCGCGCAGACCTCTCCTGCCGCCCGCTGCTCCCCTCAGCAGTGTACTTCGGTCCTTCTGCCTGCTCTGTTCCCCGCTCTGGCTCTGGTGAATTCTCTCACCCTCCCGCGCTTCTGACTGTACCCAGTGCTTGTATAAATAAATAAATAAAGCTTTAAAAAAAAAGAATAAATACATTATAAAAAAAAAAAAAGAATATATATAAAGAAAATTCAAATTTCATAGTGATATGCAAATGTACTTTATGCAGTTATACCTGTTAAAATGTTATTTTCAGAAAGAATTCTTCAAATAACTCCTAACTTTGGGAATAAATGTTTATCAGATTTGTGTATTCTGGCTTTCAGTGATAATACTACAAATCCCATGGTGACTGGTAAAAATTAAGAAGTATTTTGCACAAGTTATACGTGAATTGATTTTCCATTAAACATACATTTTATTCTTTATTTCTCTCTTTGCTGCAGTTAGTGCAAAATAAAAGTCTTAGCTGAAAATGAATAGTTGTAAATTTTACCATGCAATAAAGGGGGAAACCACTACAGTGAGAATCCTCAGCCTGAATTTCCCACACGTCAGCCACATATAACTTCCAATTTCCCACAGTTCTCAGTGACTCTCTCTACTCTCCAGTAGCCTACTGGATTCAGGTACTTCACAGGTCAAACAACTGATCACTATCTCAAATGGCTGACTGGAGCACTGAATATTTTTTCTATCAGCAACCAAGAACAAAAGAAATCAGCTATCCCTTGCTGATCATGCCTGTATTATTTTATAAGCAAATGCCCATGGCTGTCTTTCATTGGAAAGTGTTACGTAAAAGGTCAGGAAAAAGAATTTTCACTGGTCATCTTCTAGATTTATCCATGTGTTAAAAAGATAATTTGTTTATTGTACATGTTTCTCATATACTACCAAGTCAGAACACAACAGAAGCTGGAAATAAAAGAATTCTATTAAACCTATCCTGGTTTATTTTAATGCCAATTAATAATAATATCTCATTATAATATAAAATATTAGAGCAAATGCTAAAATAGACATGGCAATCTTTTTTTAGTTACTTTAAACTTGTTCAATTATAGACTGAAAGGGGTAAAAGTATAGGTGATAATGCTTTTGATAAACAGTGGTGGTGGCTACCATTTATGACATGCCAGGTTTTAAGCTACTCATGTTATACACATTATCTTGAGCTTCACAGCAAACATGTTAGGTAGGTACTATTGTACAGCTAAGACAACTGAGAATTAAAAAACTGCTCAAGATCAAATAATTGATAAACAGTAATATAAAGTCAGGAGGAACACAAATAAGTCTGGTTTGTTTCAAATGAATTCTCCAAAAGGTATTTTTGCTTTTTATATCTGTTTTCCTATTGGACTTTTTGTGATTAGCACTATGTTTCTAAAATAGCATCCCAGCACTTAAATGCCCTCTGCTTGTAAAAGAATGTCAGTGTTTATTGACTTAACAATGAATCTATTTATATTAAAGTAGTTTGGAAATATATTTGGTAACATTTTGTAGGTCTGATGTTCTGGATTTATTTGAATTCAATTATACCAGATTTAAAATGCCGTAAGTTACAATTTTTACAAAACTTTACATAATTTGAAAGCAAAATTTTAAATGGTTGTATAAATATAATAAACTTACTATCTCCCTTCAACAGGTTCGATGTCAAGGGTGTTAACGCCACTGCTATGGATCCTTTCAATATCTCTGTCTTTGTTTAACTCCAGTCCCAAAACCCTTTAAGAAAATACAAAAATTGAAAGGGAGTGAAAAAAGAAAACTAAAAAGGAAAGAAATTTTACATAAAAACATTCCTATTTCATCAAGATTATATATAGTACAAGACTTGCAAGTAATATTTAAATTTCCTATACTACATATGTATAGATTTTTAAAGAACTTATATAAATATATAAAATATCAACTGTACTAACAATTACATTTAAAGATGTTCTTCTGAAGCATTATCTTACACTTTATTTAAAGAGTATATTTTATTAAACTTTTTAAAAAGGTTTATTTATTTATGCATACAAGAACTGGAGTATAGGCCAGAGGTGTGGGGAGGTGAGAGGATTCACCAGAGACAGATTGGGGAGCAGAACAGGGGAATCTGCTGAAATACACTGCTGAAGGGAGCAGCGGGTAAGACCAAGAAGTCAGCTGCACCAATATGTGGGTTAGCTCCCTGGCCAGGGATCAAACTCACGTTGCAGTGGTTGGCAACTGCTTGATAATGCTGTGTCTTTAACACTTGCGCCACCAGGGTGGCCCTTATTAAACTTTTATTAAGATATCTATTTAAGGACTAAAACAAATTTTCATGAGTAAATTAAATTCTGTTAACGTAAACTTAACTGAGGACACCTAGTGGATAAAAGCTTAAATTACAGTATTCAAAAAAAAAAAAAAAAACCCCTGACATATTTCTTATGAATTAGGTGGACGTATAGAATGACTATGTTCAATTCAACCATTAAGCACATTTAAATACATTCAATTAAGTATTTATAAATGAAACTGATTAATAAATATTCCCACAAATTAAGACAGACAAAATTTCTTATATTCCATAACTGTGTCCTTTGTCTTTTGGAAGACAGTTTAGCCTTAGGTTCAACTCACCGGTGTAACACCTAACTATGTGTCTGACTTTGATCAATAACATTAACAGATAATAATAATTAAGATGCTACTATTTGTTGACACTGTAATCAATGGTAATAAGTAATAATCTTTTGTGGTAGATTTTCAATATTATTAACCCTATATAATACATTATATTCTTAGATATATATGATATATATTTTCTGGTTATAAAGTTAAGATACAAGTAATTGGCCCAAAAGCACACAGCTAATTGCTGAATGGCATCTGAACTTTGTAACAGCAATGTGCTTCTTGCAACAAAACACCATCAAACATGTGCCAATGTAATCATCCCTTCCTTGAGTTTCCTTTCCTAATAGTGAGAAATGTGGGTCCCAATTATTATTAAAATATTTGATCAACCCCGTGTATGTAACCAATTTCTCATCTCCACTACCATCCCCTCCCTCAATGAGGATACTCTGCAGCAGGCTTGGGCTTTTATTTTTTCCTCCCCCAACATAATTATTACCTAAATTTATCTGTTTCTACAATTGAACTACTTCCTCAATCTGCTCAGGCTCTGAAATACCACTCTAGGCCAACCTTATCCCCACCTGTGCTAAGAGGCCTACCTTTGCCCAAACCAAAGACTTTATTGTTCAGGAACTAGAAAGGGTGATGAAGAAGGAGTAGGGGAAGGTGATACAATAGGGAAATGGGGGTGAAGTATGGGAGATGTGTGGAAGGAGACAGGTGTGCAAAAATGAGTTAACATATCAGGCCTAATACTAATAGCTTTAGAAAGGCCTGTTCACAAGACTGTCCCTTGCTTGGCTTCTGGGATTTCAGAATTCCCATCACTTCTGAATAAGAATGGCTCCATGTGCCTAAACTATTATGGAACAATGTGCTTTCTGATGATACCTGCTTTCCTTCTGTAGTATGGATTTGGGGCTCATGCTAGGCTCATGCTAGGCAGGATTATGGTCAATCCCCAAAACATAACCCTAAGTCTTGAGCTTCTAATGAACTTCTCATAGACATTTCAGCTATGTAGTCATACTTAGTTACTGAAGACATGAAGTGCAAACAATGTGACTTCCTGGCAGAGGACAACTGGAAGCTTGTGCCTGCTTTCCTCCACATTTCATTCATGTGCCTTTCCTTTTCATTGATTTTTATCTTGTATACTATTGTTATAACAAATCATAGTTGTGAGTAACTGAGTACAATTATATGTTGTTTCCCAAGTCCTCCTAGAGAATCATTAAACCTGGGGGTGGTCTTGGGCACAGAGGTAGAGGGCAAGGGGAAGGGACAATAAGGCACAGAGCAGGAAGTGAATAGGTACAGCAGAGAGGGTTTTAGGGGAAAGGAATGAAAGAGGAGGAGAAGCAATATGAGAGAAGGTAAAGGAAACTGGGAGGAAAAGGATAAGGAAAAGAGCAAGACCTGGTGTCTTTTAAAATCACTTTTCCAATCTCTTTTTCTACACAACATCACAGACTGGTTATTAACGGCCTATATCCATTTTGACTGATGGATGTCCATGCTGCAACGATTGTTAAATATTTACTTATTCTCGATCTTTTATATGGCAAATGGTTGCTAAAATTTTGTATTTATTTAATTTTAGCTTTACCTTTTAAAATTTATCTACTGTTTTCATCTTAAGATGTAAGTAATTTCTATTACATCCATGCATGTTCTTCAGTGATGAAATACTTTTATTTTTATTATTTTATGCTAGGACATTTCTTTAAATACAAGTTTCTGAGTCTTTTAAGTTGTAGAAATACTTATTCTTTTTCTCTTTGCTCCTTAGTTAGCTAATAATTTCGATTTTCATCTTTGATTCAAGAGTTATTTGGAATGTAATTTCTAATTTCCAAAACTTATCTTAGAGGTGGTAGTGATGTCCTCATTAATTAATTTGTCTAGCTTGTGATCAAAGGCTGCGATCTGAGATAACTACCTTTCTGACTTTGTTGAAGTTTCCTTTGTGGCCATACACAATGATTTTGGTAAATGTGTCATTAACATATGAAAAAACATGTACCTTCTTCATTTGAAACATGTTTAATGTTATATATGTCTATTAAATATAGTTTGTTGTTTATCCATTCCTCTTATATATGTTTGTATTTTCTAGCTATTGTACTAGCATACTAGCACTACTCTGGAAAGGAAATGTCAAATTTTTCATACATTTGCTTTATATATTTAACTACTGTCTTTGAACACAGTAGCAATTTGGAAAAAACTCACAGGCAAACCATGTAGCCTAGAAATATGGAAAAAATTTTAAAAAGTTAGATTATGTCATGAATGCATAAAATATATGTCCATTTTATCATTTACTACCATAAAATATACACAAATGTATTATTATAAAGTTAAAATCTATCAAAACGTATACAAACACAGACTGTATATGGTACATTTCCAGTTGAGAGAAATGTAAACGTAAAGATGCAATATTACATCATAGCTACATAAGATTAAGTGTTATGCACACTACACTACTGTAGTAATTTCATAGCTACCTCAAATTGCTATGGCAGTGAGCTCAAGTGTTCCAAGTGTCAGCTTAAAAGGCTCTGTGATTCTAATTATTGCCATGGGAGTAGCTGTAGATACGGTACAAAAAAAAAGTTATAAGCAAATTTCTGACAGCAAAGGACATTAGCCCTTTTACCCTCTGAATTGTTTAAGGGTCAACTGTATTGAGATTTAACCATACACAAATTGCAAGGCCCACTGCTCTCCTCTGCTTCTTCTCTTCTTCATCTTTCATGTACCTTGGAGTATTGTTCAAATACATTAATTCTTTGATTAATGTTCCTTGGGTAACTTTTCCCTAAGGGAGACAAGGTAAAATATTTCTAGGAATCTTAGCAAATGCACAAAGATCTTTGTTTCATCAGATAGACTGGCTAAGTTTGGTTCCTGAGTTGCAGTCCCTTTATATTGTTAGTAGGTATTATTTCCGTGTTTTCTAGTTTCTAGAACTTCCCAGATAGCTAATGTAAATCTTTTCTTTTATGAATAAATTCTTTACCATTGGAAGCTTTTAATAATTTTCTTTCCACACTAGACAAACTTCCAGACTTTCAAGAATATATGCATATATACATAATTGTATCATAATCAGAATAAGTAAAACTAGCAATAACAGGTTTAGGGATTAATAATGACATCTGATAAGCAACAAAAGCAATTAATGGGAAACGTGCATGGGATTACTAGAACAACATAGATTTCTAGCCAGAAGTGTTAAAAGTATGCTCAGTAAATTAGAATATTTTACATAGGCAATAAAACCTAGTTACAGATGAATTAATCTGGCAATCTGGTTAGGAAAATTTCACTATTTTGAATTTTTATTTCTCCAATGAAGAGATTTAGGTCCCAGAATTTTGACAAAGGGCTCTAATTAGTTGCTTGCTCAGAACAAGAACTTTTTATAATTAAAAGACTCCAAGAAACCCAATTTTCAGACACTCGGTAACTGACATGATTTAAATTCCTGATATGATATGATTTCTAAACATTTTAAGGAAAAAATAAAGTGTTTCTTTTCAAAAAAGTACAATCATTTTCACCGAAATTAAAGATAAGACAATAAGCAAGCTCACTTATTTTCCATTATTTACTTTGCTAATCATAATGGAAGAACTGCAGAACCACTTGTGGAAACAAGCCTTATCAAAGCAGACTGACAAATTTCAATACATAAAAATTTGCTAGAATTTTGCAGTCACTGCAAGCTATGAATGCTCATATGAGAGTGGATGACTGAGCTAAAAAGGAATTGCTATCAGCTCCTCACCAACTGGGGGTGATAATAAGGGGAGAGTAATAGATACAAACCCTAATCATGTTTTAAAAGATCAAAATGTGGTTAAAAAAATTTTTTTTAAACTTTTTTTCTTTTTAAAGATTTATTTATTTATTTATACAAGCACTGGGTACAATCAGAAGCGCGGGAGGGTGAGAGAATTCACCAGAGCCAGAGCGGGGAACAGAGCAGGCAGAAGGACCGAAGCACACTGCTGAGGGAAGCAGCGGGCGGCAGGAGAGGTCTGCGCGCCATGTGGGACCCTCCTCTGGTGGCCGGGGAGCAGCCAGGGATCGAACCGGCGCTGCAGAGGCTGCGGGCAGCTTCGCAACCCAGCGCTCAACCGCTTGCGCCACCGGGAAGGCCCGTTAAAAAAAAATTTTAACACACAAAAAAAAAAAATCACACAAATGGTGCCAAATCCCCTTTCTAGGCACTGGGAATACAGATTCCTTTTCTCATAGGGGTTATGATGCAACATACTAGTAAGAAAATATACCATTTCAACAGTAATAAATATTAAGCAGAATAATGGAATGGAGAACCACTGAAGGACAAGGAGGTGACTGGGGAGCAACAGTTGACACATTGGACAACTACCTCTTAAACATTGTCTTTCCTCAGCATCCACGACTCCCTGTGCTTCCCTGGGTTTCCTTCAGTTCCTCTGGTTACTCCTTTTTAGTTGATGTGCAGTCTCATCTTCTGTCCAACTTCAAGTGTTGATGTGTCTGAGGTTTCTGAGATAAAACTGCTTCTCTTCCTACTCTACAAATAGGTGTTTGAGTGATCTCACCTCCTCACTTCACATATCATCTTGTATTAAAGATACCTAAATTTCTCCTGAGCATAAAACATGTATGTATAACTGTGTCCTCCACTTTCCAAGTGAAAACCTTCACAAGTATCTTGAAAGCAATATGGGCAAAATTAAAAGTATAGCTTGTTTCCTTTTGGGGGAAGAGATGTCACCATCATTCATCCTGCTATATAAAGCACTCACTTGGGAATCAAAGTTGACTCCTCCCTTTTCGTCATTGACTATATGCAATCAATTTTTATGGTTGGTTGACTCAATTTCTTAAATACTTTTCATATATTTTCACTCTCTTTGTCCCATTGCCACTTCCCTGGTCCAGGCATCCACCAATGCTCTGCTGGACGACTACAGTTACTTATATTGGCTCCTACTCTTGCTCTCACATATTCATTCTTCAAGCAAATGACAAAATGCAATGGTCGTCACTTTATTATCAACTCATACCTCTTAACCAAGCACACAGGTTCGTTCTCATCTAGTCTCTGCTACTTCCTTAATTTCATCTCTTGTCAATGTCTCCTTCTGTCTGCTTGTCATGCTAAACTTTTGTGTATTTCTGGCCTATGATTCACTTTTAGCATAACGTTTGACACACAGTAGGAGCTCACTAATTATGTCAGCCGCATGAATGAATGACCGAAACCTTGGATAAGCTATTCCTTGAGGGAAAGGAAGGACGTAATGTGAAGAAAGAACAAAATAAGACGAAAGTTACCATTCAGGATTACAGTGGCCTTTGCCTTGCTCGTGTGCATAAATAGCTGCCTGAAAATACACAAAGGTACGGAATTTTCATAAGCCGAAAAGCAGAAGGAATAAAGTTGACTTTGGTGGGAGGAAAGTGATAAGGCTGGAAAGCGTGAGAGAAGACTAACACCGCCATTGGTCCAGATTTTAACTAGACTATAGAGGAAAAAAAGGTTTCCTTTACCTCTTTGTGGACTCCGCTCTCCGGAGGCGCAGAGGGTCGTCCAAACCGGCTTGTCGCGCCGACAAAAACCCTAGTAGCATCCCGTTCCTTCACACCGGCCAGAAAGCCGGGCGCCGCCATGACAGAGCTCGGAGGCGGGGCTTTAACAGCGGCCTCTCCTATTGGTTCAGCCATGATGGCGCCCGACTAATGGTGGGCGACGTTACTAGAAAGGGGCGGGCCTCCTTCCTCCGGGTGGGCGGGATCAGCGGCTGGTGTGTTTCAGCTGCGACGGCGCCAGGTCAGCCTGCGACCCGCGCAGGGAGCTCGTCGGGCGGCATGGGGTGGTCTCAGGATTTATTCCGCGTTTTGTGGAGAGCGCTATCTAAGGAAGCGAAGGAGCTCGTGGGCACGGACCAGTTCGGGAACAAATACTACTATATCGCGGGGTACAAGAACTGGAGAGGTGAGAGGACAGCGCGGGCAGCGGCACTTAAATCAGTTAAATGAGGGGAGCGTCTTGTAAAGTAACTCCACGTGCGACACTTGTGCTGTCAGTTGAGGGGACAACACGATTTTGTTCACCCCAGTATCCCCTTCACTCTGGCTGCTTTCGCTGAGCGACTTTGCGCAGTCAAAGGGTGCCCGCTGTCCCTGCGCCCGGTGCGCCCGATGAGCCCGTATCCACTCCCGGCACCCCGAGCCCAGCCGGCAGAGGACACTCCATTGTTGGTCCTTGCCATTGGGCCATGTACACGGAGAGAAGTCCACGGGGCCTATTACCACCGCGCTTCTAGTAGTAGGGCGAGGAGGTGGCCTTTCCTCCTCTTTCGACCAGGAGGGCGTGGTGTAATTGAAAAGGTGTATCTCGAGTGCCTGAGCTTTCCTGTTTCGGTGTAGATCTTTTTCAGTAGCTCTGGTGCTGACCCCTTGCTTCACAGCTACTAACAACCTAAACGGGGCAGAGGTGGGTCCACTCACACTTACAGTGTGGAAAAGAGATCCCCACAAAGCTCTATGTAACTTTCTCCACGAGTTTGCCCACCAATACCCCATTGAACTCAACGTAAGATGGACGCCTCTAATCATAGTGTTTCTGTTCAGGTTTGGGGAAGTTAGAGTACTTTTCTGTCTTTTGAAATCACTACATAACAGCTTTGATAACCTCTTTGGTGTTATTCGGTCACCCGATGCAGAAGATCTTAGGCTTTGGAGTCAGAAAAGCTTGGTTTAGAATGCCCTCCTCAGTTCTCAGTCTGTTAACGTGAAAGTTATGTAGAGAAACATTAAGATCTTTTAAAAATTGGGTTCCTTTCATTTCCCCTAACTCTTGACAAAGGGAATTACTCCTTCCTCGAAGAGCATGTATGAACTGTATTTTGTTGTTTACTACTCAAAATTGCTTTGCTTATTTTTTTCCCTGTAGCTTATTTTATTATTTGTTGCTTTTTCCCTCCTAATGAGCTTCTGAAGTCAGGGAATGTCTTTTTTAAAATAGACAACCTACCATGGTATTTTTTTGACAAATTACACACAGAGGGAAAGATATTTCTTTTCCATAAATTGTCAGTAACATTAAAAAATGGGCAGAATCAGATTGACTTTTTTCCCCAAAGATTTACTGTTATTTATACAAGAACTGGGGCAGGGGTGAAAGGATCCATCAGGGACAGAGTGGGGAGCAGAACAGGCAGACAGACAGAAGACATTGCTGAAGGGAGCAGCGGGTGAGACAGGAGAGGTCTGCTGTGCCATGTGGGTTGCTTCCTGGCCGGTTGGGTATTGAACCTGTGCTGCACGCTGTGCTCAACCCACTGTGCCACCAGAGAGACCCCTGGATTTACTTTTTTATTGAAGAATAACTTACCTATGATAACATCCTTTTTGGTGTACAATTCTATGATTCTTGACAAATGCATAGAATTGTATGACTATTGTCACAGTTAAGGTATGAAACAGTTCCATCACCTCTCAAATTCCCTCTCACCCCATAGGATTTCATTTCCTCACCAATCCTTGGCAAGCACTGATTTGTTTTAGGGGTCCGTAGTTTTGCCTTTCTAGGTTATTATATAAATGGTATTAAACAAGGTGTATTCTTTTGACTGTAGCTTATTTCACTTACTATACTGTAGTTAAGATTCATCCATGTGTCAGTAGTTCCTTTTTATTGCTAATAATATTCAATCTTATGGTTTTAATACAGTTTATACATTTTGCAACACCTCCACTGCTTTCTTGAGGGGCAGAACTAGCCTGTATCCCATCAAAGGTGTAGTAGAGTTCCTCTTCTCCACATCTTCACCAGCAATTATTTCTAGTCTTTTGATTGTGAGCCATTCTCACAGATGTGAGGTGGTAACTGTTGCAAATCTGTTCCTGTGCTTATTTGCCATCTAAATAGATCTTTGGAGAAGTATCTGTTCAAATTTTTTGCCTATTTAAAAAATATATTGATTTTTTTCTATCATTCATTTCAGTGAAATTACAATATCATCAAAAAAAGGTTTAAATGAACAAAATCATGACTGTCCTAAAATAACATAGTTTGAGTCAAAAGGTAGGCTCATCTTTATTATAATACAAAATAGTTTTCCAAAGTGCGTATGTCAGTTTATACTTCAATCAACTGGATGTTTTGAATTCATGTACTCGCTTGTGAGAAAGTGAGGATGCTGTCAGAGAATCATTGTATGGTGCTAATATCTCCTAGTGCTCGATTCTTAGATAATTGAAGTCTGCTGCACAGACAACTTGTACAGTCTGTTGGTATTGTTACACATTTCCTAAACCCTTTACTGTTTTAAAGCAAGTTTTTAAAAATGAGTTTTCTAACTCACTTTCCTATCCATTTTTGATATGAAAGTTGGTTCTTTAAAGGTCTCTGTGGGGCCTCCCTGCTAGTGCAAGGGTTAAGACGCAACCTGTGAAGCAATCTGCAGCCACGGCAACACAAGTTCAGTTCCCGGCCAGCCAGGGAGCAACCCACATGGCTCAGCAGACCCCTCCTGACTTGCCCGCTGCCCCCTCAGCAGTGTACTTTGGTCAATCTGCCTGTTCTGTTCCCTGCTCTGTCTCTGGTGAATCCTCTCACCCCCCATGCCTCTGGCCTGTACCCCAGCTCTTGTATGCATAAATAAATAAATCTTTAAAAAAAAAAAAAGGTCTCTGTGAGTTGCATATTCAGCATCTTCAATGAAAAGAATATTTAAGAATTCTTTAGAAGGAATGACTATAATTCAATTAATTGGTGTGACACCAGACATCTAAGAACTACTGTGTTTTCCACATAAGACATTATTTAATGAGAGAAAAGATAGTACTATGTAATTCAAAATAAGTTTCTTGAGTATTTTTAGTCAACTGAATTTACATTTAGGATTGATAGTTGAAATTTTATTTTTTTATTTTTTAAAGTTTATTTATACAAGAAATGGGGTATAGGCCAGATGCGCGGGAGGGTGAGAGGATTCACTAGAGACAGAGCAGTAGCAGAACAGGCAGACAGACTGAAAACACTGCTGAGGGGAGCAGTGGAGAGACAGGAGAGGTATACCATGCCATGCGGGTAGCTGCCTGGCAGGTCGGGAATTGAACCGATGCTGCAAAGGCTGCGGACAGCTTCAACCCGCTGAGCCACCAGAGAGACCCAGATATTTGACATTTCAGGATAAAAAGCAAGTTGACATTTCAGGATAAAAAGATTGTGAATATGACATGTAGTTGGCATTTTTTATAATAAAGTGTTATCTTCTTTGAATGTTTCCTCTATGGTAGATTAATTAGTAAAATTGCTTAGACTTTATTTTAAACAAAGTTTTAAAAACCTGTTATTTCAGATGTCTAATATATGATATCTGAGTTTTTATTCATTTGATTGCATTTCATGTTTATAAAAGTAGTTCTCTCCTAAAATAAATGATTGTATTTGTTTACTTGATCTAACTGGAACCTCTTTCAACCTTATTTTATAATTTTCACCTCCTTTAAGACATTTATTAGGAGGGATTGGGGTCAAAATAAGGGGGTTGCAATTGTATGGGGAATATAACAATAAAATTAAAAAAAAAGACATTTATTAAATATCTGCACCAGTTAAAACTAATAAGTTTATTAACTGAAGCACTATTTTGAGTTGTTAATCTGCTAATAGGCATTGTGAATGTCCAAATTTGGAAGTGGGCCAGGTCAATAATATGCATAATTTACAAAATCACGCTTTGAGGTGTTGTGTTTGGCTCTGGAGAGATAGCTGAAAATATTTTCTAGAAAGAGGTAGTTATGGTGATGAAAATTTCTGGAAGTTGTATCTATGAATATTAGTTGTGAATCTTGAGGAAGTTTACCTTGTGAAGAAAAGGTTTAGGAGGATATTTGAAGGATTGTTATGTAGATAAACCCTAGAAATATGACTGCAGGATTGAGACTACTAGAAGGGCTGGATGGGGCTTAGGAACAAAGTGGGACGGCAACCAGTGGTGTATGGGAAAGGACTATGGGTACTTTGGCAGGGGGAATAATGTGGTGACTTACATCTGAGGAGGTGTGAACCCATTCACCTAAATCATACAGTGTTGTAAAGCAATGGTACCTCAATTTTAAAAAAGAAAGACTGTTAAATGAAAAGGATTAAGCTAATCTGTATAACCCTTTAATTAAAAACAGACTGGGAATAGATTGTTTCTTATAAACTCTCAGCCATGCTAGAGGAAAAGGAGAGTATCTTGTGTTTACTTTTAACTGGGAAAGTATGGAGAGTTAAGTAGCTGGAAACATTTGATCCAGACCTAGAGGGATAAATACTATTTCAGGAAGAGTGGCAAAAGAGTATTGCTGGTCAGGAATAGGAAGGGGTAAGAAATACTAGGGAGGTTAGAATTTAGTCTAGAAGAAGAGAGCTGTTTTGGTGAAGAGATAGATAAGGTCCAATTAGAAAGCGCCTTGAATGCTATAGCTTGGAAGCTTCTTCTTCATTGTATAGGTAATAGGTAGCCATTGAAAGCTTTCGGCAGGGAAACACTTGTGACATGATTATAGTTATTAGAGAAATGATGCTGAAGTTCCTGTGTGCGATGAACCAGAGGGGAGAGGGTAGTAACTAAAGCTCTAAAATTCATTGCTGCTTATTGTGATTCTAGAAAGTGATCCTGTTTG